ACTGCGGAGCATTTAGCCAGGAGGAGGACCAACCCTACTTCTGCCACTTTCAAAGGCATGGAACCTTGAGCTAGTCACTTACCTCCCTTGTCCCCATTATCTTGGTCTGTAAAATGACGGAGTTGGAATGGATGACTCCTGAGGTCATCTGAATGTCTGTCCAGCCCAGACATTGTGGCAGATCAGCCATCAGCTTTGCTGCTGTTCTAGCGCCATCTTGGCCAGAGGTCATCCTTTGGTGAGTCAACCCACTCATGCTTGGGTTGAGTTCTGGAGCAAGCTTGATCGGTGAGTGAAGCAAGTACAAATTTGTCTAACCAACTCTTCCTAGTTGACCAGAGCATGCTATCAGCTCTGCTGCCAGGCACATATACTCGCTTCCTCTTCCAGCTTCCTTATTTTCTCTTTCCACCTCTCACTCTGGCAACAGTAATCAATCAGCACCATTGCTTTGGGAAAAGGTATGTCAATGGAAGCCCCATGGCTCCTCTCTCCATTTCAGTGACTTTCAATACAAAAATAGCCCTCACTGGCCATCAGTGGCTGCTTGTCAGAAGGGCTCAGGAAATGCTCCTTAACTTCAATGACTAATGACCAACCTTGTGCTGGTGAAGGGAGTTTCTATAATAGGAGCTCCCCACAGGGATGAAATTGTGGGCCCAACTCCTCCCATCCCTCTATCAAGTTCTGGGGTGTTTAGTTCAAATAAACAAACAAACAACCTCTGTTTATAGTGAAGCCTTGCACTGCACACACACACACACACACACACACACACACACACACGTCTTTAGTATGTTGTCTTCTCTCATTGGATTGTAAGCTCCTTAAGGACAGGAACTGTCTTTCTTTTCCCCATTCGTATTTCCAATGCTTAGCATAGTGCCTGACACACAGTAGGTGCTTATGTTTAGTGACTATGGATACCACAATTATGTCTGTAAAAGAGGAAATGTTAAAACCTTTCTGGACCCATTGGGCTCCCTACAACCAAGTTGAGTTAATCAGGGAAAACCTCTAAGAAGAGGAGATGGTCGATCTCTGGAGTGTTAAAGGGAGGTAGACCTGTGGCTTGGAAAACAAAGAAGATTGAGGAAAAGACCCAACATAAAGATGGGAGGTGAAGCCTCTATGCCAGCTGTGAAATGGGTTTGCCTTGTTGAACGCAGCCCAGTTGCTACAAAAGTTGGCATGATGAGACCTTCTGTTACAAAGACAGAGTTTTTCTCCAATTTGCATTAAGCCAACCTGTGCTCCTCTCTGTGCCCATCAAACACATGTGAAGAGAAGAAATTCAGACCAAGCACAGCCTTTTCCCATCTCATTTATTCAGAGATCAACTAGCTCCATAAAGAGAGCCCCTTGCACATTCATGAGCGTTCATAGAGGTGTTATTCTGATCTTAAGATGGCATGATCTGGCTTTAAAAAAATACAAAAGGAATACCACCACAAGTAGCCATAAAAATGGTGCCCGCCAAGGAGCTGGGGTAAAGGGGAAGGAAACTGCTGTGAATAAAATAAACAAATTCAACAGCCTCTAAACACTGCAGCCCCCCAAACCAAATTATTGTTTGATGGTTGGCATTTTAGCCATCATCATCACTCACAGAGGCTGGTGTGACGCATATTTCCAATGCAGAGAAATAAAAGCCGATGCTGAATAGCAGATAAATACACTGAAGATGCGAATCAAAGCCGTGAAGAGAGACAACAGCTGGTAGGGAAAAAATAGAGCCATGCAGATGTCAAGATCAAAATTAAAGACATTTCAAATCTGTTACACTAATACACGGGAACTGTCATCCCCAAGGTTATCGGAATGGCTTTTTATTTCTCCCACTCAGAATTAGAGAGTGCCAGACTATTCCACATTGAGCTGAAAGGCTCAAGGTACCAACAGGCTCATGAGAAGCGTCAAGGGCCCAACTCACTCATGGTGGAGTGTCTACCTCTTAGCGTTTGCTCGAGACCCTCTGGACACACACCTGGACAATACAGAAAGACGGAGTCTGTGGAACAGGTCGGGTATTTGGTGGAAGGAGTAAAAGCAGAGCTCTTAAAAAAATGGAACTAAAGAAGTGAAACCCAGGCAAGGAAAGAGGGAGTGGTGTTGGAATAACCTCGACCATGTTCCTGCAGTTGGCCTGCTAGCTTTCCTCTCTACACAGCATCCTGGCAAGGCAGCGCCCAGAGTCCCTGCAGGGAGTGAGTGAAATTTGTGAGAATCCTCTTGGTGCTCTAGTAACAGATTGGGTCCTCAACCTTGGTAGGTGGTCCCAGAATTCAGTCCCCTGCTGTGGGGAATTTGTTGGCTCATGGCCTGGCCACTCCTCCCATTGTGTTTACACAGAACAACCCTGCTGGCTGGTAATCAACCATCAAATTTTGCAGGGAGATTCATGGGCAGCCAAATGGGCTCATTCTCATACCCATTTCCTAGAGTCAATAGCAACAAAAGTAAGGAAAGTCCAGTGGGGCTAGGGACAGGAGGCAGGAAGAATTTCCATAAAGGTATCCAAAAACTTTTATGAAGTTGGGAGTTCCCTCCAACCCTCTAAGAAGAATGGGATTTTATATTTTGTCTTTGATTGAAAAAAGACATCAAAATTGAACTTCATGAAAGGCAACCTGGCACCAGAAAAGAAGACTGAACTGGGAGTCAGGAGATCTAAATGTGAATCCTGCCTTGCACATTTACTAGCTGTGCGAAGGGGTGGTGCAGTACCATGGAGAGAGCACAGGATTCGGACAGGGTTCGAATCCCAGATTCATGCCTTGGTGACTTTGGGCAAGTGATTTAACCTCACTCTGAATCTGGAAAATAAAGGGATGGAACCTCTAATGTCCCTTCCGGCTCTAAATCTCTGATCTTATGGCTCTGGGGGAAAGTGACATCCCCTCTCTAAAGCCTTCCGTTTCCTCATCTGTAAAAAGAGGGTGATGATCCTTGTAGTCTGCTGAAAGGAGAGCTGCTGATACAGCAATGATTAGCTACGTTCTCCCTTTCCAAGGCTACTTTCGCCCCAACACTGGTGATTGAGGAAGGGTAAGGTTAGGGATAGAACATGAATTTCAAATTGTATAGGAGTCAGAGACTATTCCATTATGTGGCTACTGAGCCTCCCCAAGAGTTGCTCCCTAGGAAGCTCCTTCATCTCTCTGGGTCTCATTTTCCTCATCAGTAAAATGAGACAGAATCAGAGAATTTTAGAGATGGATGAAACCTCAGAAGCCATCTCATCCAACCAAACCCTAAAGCAGAATCCTCACGATGACATACCCAACAAGTGGTTGTTCAGTCTCTACACAAAACAGTCGAATTAGACGATCTTAAAGGTCCCTTGTAGCTTTGAAACTCTACAGTTTTGTAATTCTGAGTTAAAGTAGACTTTTTTTAAAATTTTGATTTTTTCAGTGAGGCAATTGGGGTTAAGTGACTTGCCCAGAATCACACAGCCAGGAAGTATTATGTGTGTGAGGCCGCATTTGAACTCAGGTCCTCCTGACTCCAGGGTCGGTGCTCTATGCACTACACCACCTAGCTGTCCCCTAAAGTAGACTTTTGATCTTCTCACCCAATCCCATGTCCCTGGTGGGTTTTCTAGAATAATCTAGATTTTAGAGCTGCTTTGGAGACCAAACCGGGTGAGAAGGAGCAATTGACAGAGACAACTGAAAATGGATTATTCCCCAAGTTGTTTTTTGGTCATTGACTATGAAAATAACCAGCAGGAGGCACTGGCCGGCTAACGGCAGTATTAGGAATGCCCTTCCTAGCACCTGCTGGGACCAGCTTTCCCAAGGACCATTCATAACATACAGATTTTCTCTCTGTAGGCCAGTTGGGCACTCCACGCCCACCCAGACCTCAAATAACATGGCATTTGGTCTGGCTTTCTTTGGATTTATGAAATACAAGCATTGGAAGGAATTTCCATCTACAGAATAAGAGAGCTATGTCAAGTTTTCCCATTGTTTTCCCATAGTGGTATAACTAGGTCAATGAATAGGTACGGATTAGTGAATTTCTGGGCATGGCTCCAAATTGTTTTCCAGAATGGCTGGACCAATTCACACCTCAGCCAATGGTGGACTAGTGTGCCTATATTCCCAGAGCCCAAAGCTTTTTAAAAACCAGCCGCTTGGGGCAGCTAGGTGGTACAGTGGATCGAGCACCGGCCCTGAAGTCAGGAGGACCTGAGTTCAAATTTGGCCTCAGACCAAACACTTGACACTTACTAGCTGTGTGACCCTGGGCAAGTCACTTAACCCCAACTGCCTAAAAAGCAAAAACAAAACCAAAAGAAACCCAGCCCCTAGAGCAGGCTTGTTTCAGGTTACTGGTAGTGCCTTCTCTCCAACTTCCTCTGTAGATCTCTTTTTTGTTCACAGTTGTTAGCAGTTGTTCCTTTCTTTCCACCCACGATAGCATGCTCCTTGAAGGAAGAGGACATTTTTGCCCTTCGTTGTATCCCTGGTGCCTAAGCAACTGATAAATGCTTGTCTTGATTTCAATAACATGCAGAATAATCAATCAATCAACATTTATTAAGTGTCTATGATGTACCTGGGGACACAAAAAGAGGCAAAAGACAGTTCCTGCCCTCAACGAGCTCACAATCTAATAGGGTAAGACCCAGAGTCAGTTTGAGAGCTAGCAAAAACCACCAGAGTTAGCCAGGATCACTTCACCTTCAGCAATGAGAAAACTGAAGCCCAGGCTCACTCCAGGCTGCACAGAGTCAATGGTGGAGCTGAGATTTGAACCTCTGTCTTCCAATGCCAGCGCTAGTACCGCCACCCTCATCACGCTGAGCTAATACTCCTACGAGGAAATCTAGACCCAGTTTCCTTGTGAGCAGCCTGAACTACGCTCTCTGTGTAGGTGAGGAGAACCCGGCTAGGGTCTACACCAGACCAGGATCAAGGGATGGCGGCTATAGAAACGGAAAGGAGATTGATCTGCTTGTCTGCATACAAGAGAACGACAGACTCCAATTTTGAAGGAGGATTTTATTGTCGGAAACCTCAGTGGACAGTTGTCCTTTGCCCTGGGAAAGAGCTCACCTGTTCCATGCAATGCCAAAATCCTACCACTGTCCTAAGCTTACCAACCCATGAGGCTTCTGCCTTTTTTCTCACTTTTTATTGTGGCAGGTCAAATGCTTGCCTACTTTGAAACCTGTCAAACATTTTATTTTGTTTTTTCTTTCTTTTTGCAGAAACCTTTCCTTACATTCTTACCCAGCGTTGAGCTTCCCCAGCACTGACTTGTGCATCAGGATAGAAAGTTTAGGCATTAATGAGGCCTCAATTCTAATATCATTTGGGCAATTGCTTGGTCATACATTTCCTTTGTTGCACATATGAGCATATGACTGTGATTTGGAATCACTCGCCAGTACGAAAGGCAAACTGCCTCGCCCTGTGGTCTGAATCTGTGCTTTCTCTTAGGCAGCTGCCAAGTTCGTGAAGCAGAGACACTGGACAGGAGGGAAGTGGATGGGAGAGAGCGATGGACAGGACACAGCTCAATGCTGCGGGACACTTGGAGAGTCATCAAAACAGAACGGAGAGTTCAAAGGAAGATCGGCGATCCCATCGTTTGGGGCGTAATAAGGCAGATGGTCAAACATTTTGTACAAGATCTAAAATGTGGTACTTATAAGAGGTAGAAAATACCAAAATAGTATTTAAGAAAACACATCAGTTATTTAAAACAATTAGGTAAATTTGCCAAGTTTGTTTTTTTTTTTCTTAAAAAGTTCCCCTGTTGTATGTTTCGAGTTTGTAGAAACCAGCAAGGTTGTGGATACAAATGCATTGCGAATTTCAAACTGTACTATTGAACACTGGCAACATTGTTTAATAGGTTGCAGTGGGAGGGTCACGGGAGGACAGGAAAGCAGGGGCTGCTTTCAGTCCTAGCTAAAGGTTCGGTTCTCCCTTAGGGAAGTTTCCCCAGTGGCTGCTTTGAGCCATTGATCCGAAATGTTGGGCGTGGGGATTTCTTTCCTAATGCTTGAACAACAGGGTAAAATTGTGCATGTAAGGCAACTGGACAACCTCTTCCAGGAGGTTCTAAACCCATATTAAATAAAAATAAGATTTCATCTCACACCCCATCCTCCCACCTGAGGAAATAAAAAGAAGAGAATAATCAGACCAGCGCCTGCAGAATCACCCGGGATGAGCAATTCTCCAGCAGTCTGAGGCCAAAAGGTCGCTGAGCGACCAAATTAAACTTGGGCGGCTCGTGAAGTCGGGGCTCTCTTCCTGTTCCCTAACATATCTGGGAGATGTTATTTTTCCCCTTCAACACAATTCAATAAGGCATCAATTTAATCTGAATGTCTGTGAAGCCTTTGGAAAATTAGTGTTAAAGCTTCTCCCCTTCTCCTCTCCCCAAGCCTCTAACATTCAAGATTTCATTTTATTAAATAGTTTATATATAAAAAGAAATTAAGGTGTTCTACATTCATACAAACAATCATGGTAACAATTGGAGTTGTAGAGAAATCCATTGAGGAAAATAGATACTTATATACTTACAAGGCTAGAGTAAGCACAAATGTGTCATTCTAGACGGTGTCTTTTAAATACATGTACATATATTTATATATAGATAAGTATGCATTGTCTCAGAAAGCAACCAGCAGAGAATGAGAGGCAGATGAACTTCTTTCACCACAGGGTAGGAGTGTCCAGTTTGGAAAAGCCATGGTCTCTTCGAAGGTCCAAGTAAGTACCGTTGCTCACCCATGAGTCATCACTGGATTTCCTGTCCAACACCAAGAAGTTTGCTGAATGAGCATCTGAAGGATTCTCTGGACAGTCTCCTCACCTATCGCTACCTGAGGCCTCAAAGAATACAGCTGTTCTTTGATCTGTCGAACTTTCTTAATCCTCTAATACAGGCAAAGACTGAAAAGTTATAGATTACTGGAAGGGTAGAACCTGAAAGCCTGGAAACCTGGATTTTTGTCTTTGTTTTTGAAAATCCTCAGGGCCTCTGACTTGTCAAACATGAGAGACTGTGAACAGTTTGGCTTTTGAGAAAACCACAAGGGCTCATCTGGTGCTGTATCAATCAATCACCAAGAATTTATTAAGCGTCTACCATGTGTATGACGCTGTGTTGGGCCTTGGGGATAAAACCTAAATCTATATGACAAATAAGTATGAAAAGATACAAAGTGAAATGAGCAGAATCAGTCTACATTGACTACAGCTATGAGTATGTGTGAGATGGCCTAGAGTCTAGGGGTCTTGCTACCCACCTGCGTGTGTGATAAAGGCAGAAATGTGGAGCAGGCAGGGAGAAAGACAATGACGTCCCCTCCTTCCCTTAGCTTTGGTTCTACCTTAAATTCACTTGCATGCCAAACTCAGGATTTGGGGAATTTCTACCTCTAAATCATATAATTTTGGGATAACAGACTGTGATTCAATCCCTGACGTGGAATTAAAGGGGGAAAAGCCCTATAATGGAAGTCTGGGGTACTCTTTCCTGTTTTATTAATAACCTTAGCTGGGTGTGATAACCCAAAGCCTGTCGCTGTGGCTAAAATGCTGCCCACATCAGGGAAAGCTTTTTCAGTCACTGCCCCCTAGGAGCTGTCAATGGGCAGCAGCACCGACGTGAACAACACAGCTGCATCCAGCTGTGACCAGAAAACAAAACCATGGGGACGGCACATGGTAGCGACCACTCAACATGGCCAGCAGGGGACAGGTCCTGTGGAAGCATCACGAATGCACCCCTGAAGCCACTAGCAGCTCCTTAGCAAAGATTAAGGAGTGGTCACTCCACGTGTAGCCCGTCTACACATATGTCCTACGTACATGTCCCTTCACAAGTGCATCCTATCAACATTTATTAAATGCCTACCATATGCAAGGGGATTGGAAAACATCAAAGGGCTTTGGTAATTAGAAGCTACTCCCTTGTGCCAAGATCCATCTTTTCAAAGCAAAAATCCTCCCCAAAATGCTTTGGAATGTGGAAATTTCTGAAGAATTAAAGTTCTGGGTGACCCAAATAACAATGTGTCCGTGTTGTTCCCTCCCAGTGAAAGGAAAGCTTTGTGAGGACAGGGATTGTTTGGTTCTTATTTTCATTATCCCAGTCTGATGATGTGCAGTGTAGAGACAGTGGGTTCAAGAGTTGGCTTCAAGTCTTATGGGTAGGCGAGCCACTTGTCCACTCAGAGCTCTTGGCAACTCAGTGGCTGAGACACTGCTGGCCTGCACTGACCAGGGGAGTTTCTTCACCTAGGAGTTCCCCATACCAAAGCCATCACAGCTCCAGTCCCAGAACCTGCCTCTATTCCCAGTCCCTCCAGCAGCTCCACCATATTCTCCATGGCAGTATTGGCCTACCAGGGGGTGACAAGCATACCTGAAAAACCGAGGCTGATGCTCCAAGTTATTCTCTTCCATGACCCGTCGTCGATCCCTCTGCAGTTGCTCGATCCTTTGCTTCTGTGTTTCTGCTTCTTCTATGTTCCCTTCTTCTAAAAACCTGGACAGAGAGGACCATTAGCTCAGGGATGGCCTTGACCTCTTGGTCATATGTGGCTCCTAGGCATGTCCCCAGTGCGTTGGTGTTTGCACCACAACCCAGGGGGGAAGGAGAGGAGCTCAAGGATTGTTATTCTCATGTGACTAAAGAGGAAATGAAGGCTCTGAGAGGCAGAGGAGGAGATGCAGAGAGTAAGAGGTAGACATCAAGGGCTTCAGTTTCCCTCTTCGGGGGGCTTGTGCAACATTGCATGAAATTCCTTAAATCCATACGGCCAGCTGGTCTTTTCAAAGTGCCCTTATTTACACTATGAATAAATTAGCAGGTCAGAGTGGTAGCAAGAACACTGGTTTAGGGGCACACAGGACCATAGGTGTCAAGCTGGAAATAAGATTAAAGGTAATTTTAATCTTTACCTTCAGAGCTATGAAGGTGAGATATGATTATACCCATTTTATAGATGAAAAAACAAGGCACAGAATGGTTAAGGGACTTGCCAAGGCCATGACGTTGGGTTCAGAAACCCAAAATATGACACTTACACAATCACTTATATCTAGGGGGCCTGGTTTTCTCTGGGCCTGGTTTTCTGTGTACTCTGTAAACTGTGAGAGTTCAATTTCTCAGATTCCTTGTAATCATAGCCATCTATAGCTCTAATGTTCTATGTCCTTCCTCCTAAGCACATCATGAAATGCCTTCGTGGCATCAGGGAAGGAGATTCTGGGATCACCAAGGACCATCTGAGATCCAAAATCTTGTGGCAGAAGAGATCTTATACACCATCTGGGCCCATTCGACAGATGAAAGAACTGAGGCCGTCAGAGGTGAAGGAAGAGAGACTTCTCCAAGGTCACTTTGGAGAATAGCTGCTGAATAGGGACGTGAAGCCAGACTCTGGGTGGTGGTGTTACATAGTGGAAAGAGTGCTGAACCTGGAGTCAGAGAACGTGGGGTTGACCCCCAGCTCTGCTACTTACTACCTTTGTGACCCCGGGGAAGACGCATCACTTGTCTGACTTTGGTTATTGTATCAACAAGATAAAAGCTTGGATGTGATGACCTCTGGGGTTATAACCTATGGCCCCCAAGCCAATACCCTCTGACAGTCTACTCATCCATTCATCCATCTATCCATCCATCCAGATATTGAGTGGGCAACTCTGCACGAGGCCTGTGCCTGGGCCTGTAATGTTACAATGGGTTCTTTATCAATGGAGAGATTTGCTTTACTTGGAGTAGATGGTAAGTTCTTTAAGGGTGGGGATTTTTAATTTTTTGGTTTTTTGGCCTTGTCTCATGCAGACAGTGGTTACTAACTTATTGAATGAATCAATGAACTGAGTGGATATCCTCGAGTATCAGGCATTGGAATGGTTAAGCACATGAGTTCCAGCCTGTCATGGTGTTCAAGATGGCGGCAGGCTGTGGAAATGAGTCTAGTGTCAGACAGGGTCATCAAGAGGCTTAGTATCCAGTCCTGCCTCTGACTCTTACTGTGTGACCCTGGGCAATTTGCTTAATCTTTTTGGGTCTCAGTTTTCTCATCGGTAAAATGGGATAATCACAATTGTTCTCTACCCTCATAGGGGCTCTCTAAAGAGAGAGACTTGGCAGCCTTAAAACACTATAGAAATGAGAGGTGTTTCATCTGTTACCATGAGATCTTGGCACCTCCTTGAGAGTGGGGCATTTCCCCAGTAGGAGGATGACAGATCAACGAGAGACCATTAAGAGGAGGATAGATGGATGACCATACATGTGGCCTCCTGGGCACAATGCGACCTGAGGGAATGGGGGACGCTGGGGAAGAGAAGACTCAGGAGGACACGGAAGCCTCTGCCAGTGCCTGAAAGTCTGTCAGATGGAAGAGAATTTGGTTTATTCCTCCTGGTCGCAGAGGATTGAACTAGGAGCAACAGGTGGACGGTGTACACAGGAAAATTCAGGCACGATGTCAGGAAAAGTCTAACAACTGAGCCCTCCAGAAGTGTAATGGGCTTCTTTGGGGGAGTGGGCTCACACTGGAAGGGCCCTTAGAGGCGGTAGAATCCAACCCCCCATTTTACAGGGGAGGAAGCTGAGTTAGGTGACCTGCCAGGGCAATATAAGCACAGTTGGAATCCTAAGCTAGTTCCTTTGATTCTAAATCCAGGGCTCTTTCCCATAGAGGCCTCCAAATGCCCGGTGGCTGTGCATCAGGGACACCACAGTGAGCGATGTGGGTTCCTCTCATCACTGACGTTGTGAGATCCCATGGTTAGCCTCAGTGTCCATCTCCTTGTCTCCCCTGTGGGCTGAGGAAGGCATCTTGTGCCAGGTGGTCGGAGCCCACAGGGAGCAAGAGAACATTACCTTTGGTCCGGCCGGAACCGTGTGTCCGTCGCAGGGAGGTACGGTTTGGTCAGTGGATCCAGCTCATTCAGCTCCAGGGCAAACTGGGTGAAGCCGTAATACTGCTCATGCCCTTTGGGCATGGGGTCTGCAAAGAAGCACAGCTATGGGTGCCCGCCTCCCACTCCCCCAGGTCTCTTGTTCATTTTTCCCTACGCACTTTCCTTGACCCCCTACCTGCTCTTCTCTGAGCTCAGTATCATTTTGCTCCCAATCTATTAAACCACCCCAGCAGAAGGGACCTGGGTATATTACTCTCCCCCTGGCTTTTCCCCTGTCTGCCCAGCTTGGCCCCAGGTGACTGTGAAGTCTAGACACTCACTTAAAACTTGAAATTGAGGAGCCTGAGTGCAAAGACTAGCGTCCAATTTCTGCGACTCCACTGGGCTTCACTCTAAGTGATTGGGTTCTCCTGAACTGTATTGTCATAAGAAATCTGCTTTTATAAAAAATCCTGTGATTGTTTTTTCCCCCTTCTCACTCAGCAGATTCCCCCAGTGTCAACTTTAGGGCTTTGAAATCTGTCAGACCTGTTTTTCCTTCCTCTATCACACCTAGAATTAACACACATAATGTGGTGGATGTAAGTGGGCTGCACCCTATTCCCAGTTTTGGCCTTGAGCATGTCACTTATCCTTCGTTGGCCTCAGTTTCATTACTTGTAAAATGAAGGGAGGTTCACCAAATGGCCTCGGAGACCCCTTCTGGTTCTACAGCTGAACAGGAAGCTATGAGATACAGTGGACTGTGATGGACATAGGAGGGAGGATGACCTCCATTGTAACCCCACCTCAGATACCCGCTAGCTATGTGACCCTGAGCAAATCACTTAACCTGCATCTGTCTAAGTTTCCTCATCTGTGAAATGAAGTTAATAATAACTCCTGCCTCCCAGGGTTATTGTGAAGATAAAATGAGATAATATTTGTAAAGCACTTTGTAAACCTTAAAGTAGTATGTAAATGTCAGTAATTGAAAACAAAAATAAAAATGAAATCAGTCACTGCCCTGCTCAAGCCACCTCCCGGTAGAACACAAGTGCCTCTGCTTGGCATCAGAGCCATGGGACTGGGTGCCCTTTGACCCAGTGAGTAGAGGTCAGAGTACCAGCCCATTAGAGCTTGAGGGGGTCTTAAAGGTCCTTCCATTACTGAGTCCTAGATGGTCAGAACTAGAATAACAACAGCAATATTGTGAATTATGGTCAATGGTTCTAGAGTACTCAACAAATAGGACATTAGAGGTTCTCAAGTCCAGCCTCCTCATTTTACAGCTGAGGAAACTGAGGCCCAAAGTAAAGTGATTTGCCCGAGGTCACAGGGCCAGGATTCAAACCTAGGTCCCTTTAACTCCAAGCTCAGACATCTTTCTTTCATTGTGACATTCCTGAGTTCCCAAAGGAAGTAAGATTTACATTATTTACATTTAGATTCTGAATTCAGGTTGTCTGAATTCCTGAATTCACCACTCTCCTATACTACCTCATCACAAGCCTCGAAGGAAGTTAGTGCAAGGATTATTATCCCCATTTTGCAGACGAGGAAACTGCGGACCAGACAGGGGAAGGGAGTTGCCCAAAGGTTCCCTCGGGTGGTTGGGAACAGCTTTCTCCAAAGGCCCAGACTCACTGCTTTTAGCCCTTTTCCCCTTCCTGTTTGGTCTTACATTGTGCCATGCTCACCAGAGGCCACAAAAATGTGTGTGGATTAAAAACTTCCTTCCCAGACTGAGCCAAGGGCTGGGTCCTGCAGCCAGATGCCAGTGTTCACAAGAAGCTCAGGCTGAGGGAAACCCCAATGCGGCGTCCCCTGGATAGAGCCCAGTGACTGACAACTTCCCACCTCTCATCCACACCTGAGCAGTCCCAGTACTCACGTGCTCTCCAGATGCACGTTGATGAGGACCGCATGCCACTGTAGATGCTCTCATGCCACTTCCCAAAGAGACGGCGCACGGCTTTGCCGCCTTTGTCAAAGATGGTGCCCTCGATCTCATGGGAATTGGTGCTCCAGTATTTGGCCTAGAAGATAGAGGGGACAGGTCACCCACCACTTCACGGTCACTTAGGGAGTTACTTTAACAGTGAGAAACTCACACTAAGTCTTCTGGACTTTGGGACACAGGATCTTCTGTGTGTCCAGTTGCTGTTATCACTGTCCTCATCATCGTACTAATCGCCATCTCATTCTTGTCATCTTGTCGATTTTGGACTTCAGTTGGAAAGGCTCCTAAGACAAGGCACTCTGCTGCTACGATGATTTTATTTGTAAGGTCTATGAACTATTGCACTATTGCATGCAATAACTGCTTTATGTAGGTGAATAAAATTACTGGGGTGTCAGCTCATCCTCTGCAAGCGTCCTAGGGACAACTGCATCACAGAGGATGATGGAGACGAAATGCTGTTCCCACATGGTTTGGATATTCTTCTCTAAGTTTTGGAAGCTTTTTGTTCCACATGGCCACATCTATTAAAAACGCATCAGGTCTACGTGTTAGCAATTTTGGGCAACAGCCTGATCTATAGCAATGGTCTAATTCCAAGGTAGTTGATTGGATAACTTCTCAAGGATATTTTGAGGTCTATATTTGCAGTGGGCGGGGGGGGGGTTATCTTGTGTCAGTCCATGAGAGACTATTTGCTTCTATGCTTCTATATACAGAGACTCTATTTTTGGGGGGGTGCTAGGTAATGGGGTTAAGTGACTTGCCCAAGGTCATACAGCTAGGAAGTATTATGTGTGTGAGGCTGGATTTGAACTCAGGTCCTCCTGACTCTAGGGCTGGTGCTCTATCCACTGCGCCACCTAGCTGCCCCCATATAGAGACTCTATAGGAATCTAACCCCCAGGTTGTGTCTTGCCAGGCATTCAGCAGGTGCTAAATTTCTGCAGATAAGTTGCATGATTTCTACCATTTCTTTGCACGATCAACATCGATCATTAAGTCTGGGCTCCTTCAACATAACCCTTCTATAATTCCTGGTGGTGATGACCTGGTCCTGAATTGTATCATGAATCCTTCCATCTTCCAAAACAAATCCCCATGATGCTACTTTGTTGAAATACTGTTCTGCGAGGCTGGACCCCCAGTAGCACCTATGGTTCTCCTCTCAGATCACAGGAATTAAATAGGTTTCACTCGCATGTCAGTTACATTTGACAAACCCAATGGTGGGTATCTGGTATCAGTCTTTTCTATTGTCTGGTGGAGCGGTGTCTGCTTATAGCTTTTCTACTGCCCTTTTCTGTTCCCAGGCGACAAATCAGAGGATGAGGAGACTGCGCAGTGTGAAAAAGCTTACTATCTGAATTTTTTTCTACACGAAATTTCCAACCTTTTGTAGACTAATGATGATGTTGATAATCACAATAACATCTTTAAATGATACTTAAGGCTCTTCTCCAGATTTCAACGGCTTTCCTTATTTATCCCCCTAAAACAAGATAAACCACCCAAGTCTTTGCTGAGAAGAAAGTTAACTTTCCCTCTACCACCGATTCTTCTGTGGTCAGGTGACATCTCAAAGCTCAGGGGAAAGTACTTGTGTGTGTTGGCTGCAATGCCAGAGTTGTGCCAGCAGAGGGTGCTAACTCCTCAGTAGCCTATTTCCCAAATTCAGCCTTACCTGGCTCCCCTACATCATCAGTACTGTCTTCAACTGAAAACAGCGTGTACCTTTGGATTACTAAACCCTGGGCTTTGGAACAGACCAACAGCAGAAGGGCATGTAAAGGCTATTTTGAGTAATGACTATTTCCTCTTCTTCAAGGCACTGAATCAAAGACTCTCAGAGCTGAAAGGGATCAACAAAGCCATCTGACCCACCCTGTATCTGACCAAGATCCCTTCTATGACATACTCTCCATGTGGTCATCCATCTGCCACTTGAATACTTCCATTGATGGGGATCTCACTACCTTATGAGGCAGTCAGTGCCAGCTTGGGGTAGCTCTGACCCCGAGGAAGTCTGACCTTACTTCTGACCGGAATCTGCCTCTTTTTCGCCTCCAGCCCCTGTTCTTATAGATGTGAGTTCTGCCACATAGGATAAATCTAACCCTTCTCCCATGGGACAACCTTTGCAGCTCTTGGAGGCTCAAGCAGTGTATGGCCCCTGCATTTCCCCAGGTCCTTCATTGGATCCTCTGAAGGATCAGGAATCAAATTTCAGCCTTTCAAGATTTGGGTATGATGTTGCAACAAGGAGTCATCAAGTCTTTAGCATGAATAACTAAAATCTAGGCAAGACATAAAAGGGGCAGGGTTCAACACCCACCTTTGGGAGAGAGAGCCCTTGGAAGGGCTGACACTCATATAGTGCCTAAGGTCTGCAAAGCATTTTACATACAAGTGTATGCCACCCTGTTATCACCCCCATTTTACAGATAAGGAAACTGAGGCTGAGAGAGGGTGAGTGAGTTGCCCAGAGTTGTACAGGTAGTAAGTGTTTGAGGCTGGACTATGAACTCAGGTCTTCCTGACCCAAAGTCTATGACTTGCAGTATCCACTGTACCCCCAAGCTGCCTCTGAAGATGACTGGGGTGGGGAGGTCACCTTTTGCCCTTGGTCAGAGCTACCCCTGCCCAGGATTACCTGCTATGCTCTTGGTTCTCTAAGCAGACATCGAGCGGGAAGGGACCTCAGAGGACAACTGTTCCAACCCCCTCATTTTACAGAGGAAGAAACTGAGGCCAAGGAGGGGAAGGAACTTACCGTAGTTGTCTCAGAAGGACCTATCCAATCTAGTCCTCCCTTTTCTGACTTCCTTATTAAATGGAGAGTAAGAACCATAACAACTGTTCTGGTTTCTAGATCACTTTAAGTTTTACGAGGACTTTCCTCACAATAACCTGAGGAGAGAGGTGGTACCAGTATTATCCCCAATGTAGAGATGGGGAAACTGAGGCTCACAGAGATGGAGTGATGCTAATAAGTGTTGGGGTCATGACTCCAGTCCCTGTCCATGACTCCAAGGTCGGTCAGTGCTCCTGGCACCACACCCAGAACCCCAACATCCTCTTTGAGTCTGAAATCTGCAATTCTACAAATTGGCTGCTCAGAGTGAAGAAAAATATCTCCAGTGAAATTCAGGGTGGTGGGGGTGCGACTTCACTGTTGTCCAGCTCACAGGCAGCCCTGGGCCACCTCCCTTGTCAGACTTTTAGAGGCAGGGTGGTGCAGTGGGAAGAGCCTGGATCTGCAGTCCTAGGACCTGTGTCTGAATCCTGACTCTGAAGCTTGGCCTAAATGACCTCTCAATTTCCTTCCAGGTCACTATTTATGATCCTGCAATCCTATTCAGTCATTCTCTTGTATCTGAAAAGCAAGGCCATGGCGAGCCCAACAAACGCCATTGTGGTTTGACTTTACGGGTGCCGAGAGGGACCTGATCCCCTTCTCTTAACCCTTCCTCCCCTCCCCCAAGGAAACAAGTCTTCCCCAGAGGCTGCCTCCCCAAACTTCCCAGCTCCAGCTTCATGCCTTTAAGGTTGCTGATCCCTGAGAAAAATGGAAATAACCCAGGAAACAGGAACACTTTGAGCTGTTATCAGTTTGCTTCTCCTCAGTATGGATGAGTTCTTCAGAATAAATTTGGAGAGGGAAGAGAGCAAGGGAGTACTGGGAGCCCTGGAGCCTGGGAGAGGCAGAAGTACCATGGGGCAGGGGAAAGGGGAGCAGAGCAAAAAGCCCAGATGCCTAATTCTGCCTGACCACCCCCCTCCCCAGGTACCTTGATAAAGTTCACTTTGCAGTGGCAGGAATCTTCATTTAGATTCTTAATGATGATTTCACCATAGTGTTCTATCCATCTCTGGCCACTCAGGATGTTGTGAATGCAAGAGGTCACTTTGTTCCACTCGAAGTGATCGCCAAAGCTGAGGGGAAATGAGGGTGAGGAAGGAGGTTTTCCAAAATTGAGAATGACAAATGAAAATAATAACCAGAATGACCTTATCGATGGGCCCACCACCAAACCCTGATATACTTTCCTCAACAAGGAAGAAACACACAGAATTCCAGTATTATAGTCAGAATAGAATGCAAGTTCCATGAGGGCAGGACCATTCCACTTTCATTTCTGCACCCCCAGTGCCTGGCACACAGTTGATTATAAGAGATGGCTGGAAGACCTAGGGCAGCTAGGTGGCACAGTGGATGGAGCACTGGAAGACCCATCTTCCTGAGTTCAAATCTAGCCTCAGATACTTACGAGCTGTGTGACCCTGGGCAAGTCACTTAACCCAGTTTGCCTCAGTTTTCTCATCTTTAAGATAAGCTGAAGAAGGAAATGGCAAACCACTCTGGTATCTTTGCCAAGAAAATCCCAAATGGGGTCACAGAGAGTGGGATATGACTGAAAAACAACTAAACAACAATGGAAGACTCAAGTTCAAATCTGGGCTTAGACACTTATTCTGTGTGACCTTGGTCAAGTCACCAACCCTCAGTTTCCCTATATGTAAAATGGAGATAGTAAGAGCACCTACTCCCCAGGTTGTTGTGAGGATTAAAGGAGATATCTATAAAGTACTTTATAAACATTAAAGTGCTAGCTTTATTTTATTATTAATAATTTTAATTGATTATAGATCGATTGACAAAAGCTTTTTTCAGAGCAGAGCTTAGGCATCACAGCCCAGAGGCCTCCCCCAGAGATGTTGGTCTTTACCACCTCTTCAATGAATTTGCTTATACCTTGGGGTGTTCATTTATTGGTCTGTTCACTCCCTCACTCCTTCGTTCGTGTGAGCACATGGTCTATTCCCCAAGGAAAATGCAACCTCTTTAGAGGAGAAGACGGCTTTGGTTTTGGTTTTGTCTGGACCCATGATTTCATCAGTGCAAGGGAGCTCCCAGGGAGGAAACCCTCCCTTCCTGTTGCAGTTTAATAGATGAAGAAACAAAGGCATTGACTGAGTGACTTGCCTGAGGTCACTCAGGAGGAAGAAACTGAGGGCCAGTCTGAACTCAGGACTTCCACTTTACCACCCAGCTCCTTTGTCTGGGACATGCCATCTTCTTTCCTCCTCCCAGCCTCGGTTTCTTCAGGTTTGAAAATGGCAGGTTGGACAAGATGAGCTCTGAGCCTTTCCAGCTCTACTGTGTCATGATTTGAAATGACACTAATCCCTGTGAGCCCAACATCAGTTTCTTTCAAATAAGACATGTTGACATTGAAGTGAATTGACTTGGGCAGCCCGTTCCCAGGCAATGAAAATCTGGATAAAGGCCTCACTGTCCTCTGTGTGTCCAGGAGGGAAGGGCCTGGGGTGAGTGAACAATGGTTAGAGCAGAGAGCGGAGTCTCCCAGGCTAAGGAAACTGGACATGGAGAAAATGAACAAAATCGGAGCCAACTGTCCAGTGGATCAAAATAGTTACACAATTGAATTTTATGTGCAAAGATAAGTCATGCATGGTCGCTTCAAAGGTTTCCAGCTAATTGCTTAAATTTAAATCTCAACCACAAATTCTATGCAGTTTGGGTTAATGGGGCCATGATGCCTCTGCAGAGAACTTACGCAGGAAGGGTGACATGCGTTGTGCCAACTGGAACGATTTCCATGGATTTGCCCCAGAATTTGTTTTTCCATCTCACATCTAAAACAAAACATCAAATGTCAGTCAGTTAGTAGGACAGAGGCGTACTCTGAGGCAACCAATCCATCAATGTACTTATTAAGGGCCTACTATGTGCCCAGTGCTAGAGATGAAAGGTCAAGGTTAGGGATGACCTGTCAAGGATATTGTAGAGAGATTGCTGTTCAGATGCATTCAGATGCTGTTCAGATGTTCTAAGTTAAATTCTGTTTAATTCAATGTGGTAAGAATTTATTAAGCACCTACTGCATGCCAGGCATTGCATTATAGGTTGGGAAGTCAACAAGCAAACAATGCACACTCCAGACAAACATGTTGTGTGTGTGTGTGTACACATACACACGGTAAAGAGGAGGTAATCTCAGAGGGAAGGCACTAAGCTTTGAGACTGAGAAGGACCTCTTCCAGGGAGAAAAATGAAACGGTCCCTTGCCCTCAAAGAGTGTGCATTCTATTGGGCATCACACCAGAGGTGCTTCTACTGCCGATGTTCCCCAATTCTGATTTTGATGGGGAGAAACTGTAGGTCCGAATGCTTCCTCATTCCCCTCCGGCCAACTGCCTATAGTCACATTTGGGCTGGTGAAAGCTTAATGCCTCTTCTTTTCTCATCCATTACCAAAAGGCAGAGATTTCATTAACGTGCCTTTTCCCACTAATTGGGGGAGAGCGGTCGTCCCTCTGGAGAAGCTTCCTGGCCAAAAATAAAAAACTGGTTTGCAGAGCAAATGAAGTTGCTCCAAACAAGATCTCAGGGGACAATATTTAAGTAATTTTTCCCGACTTCAGGAGCATTTCATTCAATGCAAACACTCAATCTGCAGACTAAAAAGCATTGCTGTTTGTCCATTAAAACAAAGGGCTAGTCTCTGGGGACCAGCAGTCTAATTCTTGTTATTATGTGTACTGGCAAGTAATAGAACGATGCTGCTTTTAAAGTCTTTTCAGTCCCAATTTTTCACTCGTTCAGCCTCTGTTCCTCACCCACTTGTGAGGCTTTCATTTTCATAGACTCTAGGCTGGGAGTGAAGGATATGGAGTGTTGAACTTGCTTCTGGGAAGAGCTCACCTCAGGCTTTACCCGTCAGGCCACCCTGAGCCTCAGACAACTCTCTGTGACCAGAGATTACAGACAGGTGATGGGCTGCTTGGGTGGAGGAGTTCCTATATCAACAAGACCAAAGGTTCTTCTGGAAGGGATAGGGGAAAAGATTCTCAAAAGGATGGAGGAGAGTTGGCCTCTTGGGTAGTACTTTACCAGAACCCTGCACCCACAGAAAGGAAGTATGGTAGAGGGAATTGTGCACTGTGTTTAGAGTCAGAAGGTATGGGTTGGAATCTTGGCTCTGCCATTTTCTCTTTGTGTGACCTTGGGGAAAGTCACTTCACTCGGGGCCTCATTCCACATCTGTAAAATGAAGGGATTGGACAACGTCATCTCTCAGGTCCCCTCCAGCTCAGAATCTCCATTCCTATCGTGTCTGAGGCTCTGTTGATAGGTGCGACTGCCAAGTATACAATCAATGACGCAGAGATAGGGAAAGCCCAGTTTATTATGTTCAGAGTATGGGCATCATTGAAATAAAAATCAAGGAGCCCAGAACATATGTTTCAGCAACCTTTATATAGGTTTTGTTTATATAAGTGGGATGGGTACAAGGGAATTTTTACAGAAAGTAGAAGCAGAAAGTAATTATGTACACGTCACAGAAGAGATGGCAGAAGGGGAAATCAGGTTAAACAGTAAGCTAGCTGGGAAACAATGGGGCAAGAGCTGCTCTCTTAAGCTTAGATTTTCAGACAGAGCAGGAACTAACCAGTTCACACCAAGGTGAAGGTCTCAGTTTGATTTTGCAGACTCTAGCTAGGTATGGGACCTGTTCACCTTAAATAATTGGTGGTGAGAAACTAAGCTAGAAATTCTTTTCTGATACTACAAAGACTCTGATTTGATGTCAAGAAAAGGGCTGATATTTCTAAGACAGAAGGTCTAAGAAAATCAGAGCTGTTCCTCTTTCTAAAATAAAAAGAATTCTCAAGAGTCCAAGAGTTTCTTTACTCCTCTGAGCACCAGCTTCCTTATTTGTAAAACGCTGATCCTGACAGCAACACGGCAAAATGGTTAGAGCTGGCTGCAGAGTCAGGAAGTCCTGTGGTATTCCAGCCCCACCTCTGATACAAACTGACCGTGTGACCCTGGGAAGGAAAGGGGAGGGGAAGGAAGCATTTACAGAGCACCTACGGTGTACTGGATACTGTGCTAAGTGCTTTACAAACATTATTTTTTAGATCCTTTCAATAAGTACTCACCTGAAAGGTGAGTACTATTAGTTTCTCCATTTTATAGCTGGGCAAATAATTTTACTTCTCCAGGTTCCCAATCAACTTTGCAAGTTTCAGAACAGGGGTGGGTTTGTATTATAGAGGGAGTTTGTTCACTGCGAGTTCTCTAAACTGATGAAATCACTGGGCTCGTGGGAGGCATGTCTTCCACTGTGTTATTGTGAGAGCCAACTGGCACCATGTGTGCGAAATGCTTTGAAAAACTCGAAGTATGGGAATATCAGTTTGAGCAGATCCCTTATTTAGGCCTCAGTTTCCCCATCTGTAAAATGTGGAGGTTGGCCTAGATGAGTCCTTCTAGCTTTAAACCCAGCTTGAGAGAGGTTGCCTACGTCACTTGGCTCCTCTGGGCCTCAGTCTCCCTGTCTGTAAAATGAGGGGGTTGGACAGAACGGCCACTAAGGTCCTTTCCACCTCAAAAATCGATGATGCTACGAGGTGGCGGCTTCTTCCACCAAACAATGGTAGCTGATGAATGATTTGAGCATGAGGAAAACCCGTTTCAGGGAATGCCTGTTCTCCTTTCAAGATGTCTGTCATAATGAATGTGTCATGAAAGAAAACCCACACTTTCCAAGCCTCGCACCTCTCCGACTCAAATCCTCAGGGCCGACCCTCGGTTGTCCTGTTTACATCTTGTCTGTTCATGGGAGCGCCTTGAGGGCAGGGACCGTTTCTACCTTTCTTTGTATCCTCAGTGCCTGGTACATAGTAGGTGCATAATAAATGCTCATTGACTGACTGATTTACACCATGCAGCTGCTGCCATCTCTATGGGAAGCTCATAGACTTGGGATTGGAAGGGGCATCATCACTGTCTTTGATCCTTAAGACCTGGCGCAGGAAGGTGGGCGGCCATCAAACCCTCTTCCCCCAGTGGACGTGTGGGTGAATGGCAGAGCCAGCATGGACCCCATGTGGCCAGATTCCTCATCCACATCTGGATAACATCAGGAGATTGTGAAAGTTAGTTAATTCCAGTGAGTCACAGCGGACTTTGGGTCTTACAGCTGGAAGCGAGCTGAGGTCTCATTTCATCCCATACGTTCAGCTCCCAGATGGGGTGAAGTGCGAGGGGACTTCTGAGTCAGCGTAAGTCAGCAGGGGCCTTATTGGCCAAACAGGCAGTGTGACCTGGGACTGCATCAGGAGGTGTGGTGTCTGGAAGAAGAGGGATACTGCCAACATGGAGTGCCTCTAGGTGAGGGAGACAAGGAAGGCTAGGGGACTGGAGACCATGAACACTGGTTAAAGGAGCCAGGGATGCTTAGCCAGCAAAAAGGAAGACCTAGAGAGAAGACAGGATCAAGGATCTGAAGGGCTGCCACACAGAAGAGGGGTTAAACCTTTTCTGTTTGGCCCTAGGGGAAAAAAAAATAATAATAATGATGATAATCTCTCAGGTTTACAAAGTGCTTTAAAATATTATATCACCTTTCCCTCACTCTGGGAGATGAGGGCTTTTATTATCTTCAGTTTACAGATGAGGAAATGGAAGCATATAGAGATTAAGTGACTTGCCCAGGGTCATAGAGCCGGTTAATTGTTTCAGGTAGGATTTGAACTCAGGTCTTCCAGGCTCCAGGCCCAGTGATCTTTCCAACCAGTTAGTCAACAAACATTTAAGTACCTACTATGTGCTAAGCACTTTCTGATATTGTGTCTTGTGATCCTCACAACAATCCTGCTGAGAAGCTAGACTCACGGAGGCATCAGGTGCTAGAAAAAGTGCTCCTGAGAAGTGGATGGAAGGAAGGCCATTCTGCGAGATGTTCCAAGGCCCGCTGCTCAGGGCTGAGCCACAGCAGGGGTGACCATGGGCACCGTCCATCTTGTGTCTGGGGGCTCTCCTTTTCTTTCCAGGCACGGGTCACACATGCTGCTCAGACCGAGGAAAGGACAGTCTGAACTTACACGCTGACTCCACGGCTGAGCTCCTGATCTTTCCATTGGGAGTGGAAGCTTTGGATAGAAGATGAAGGTCAGGTCTGTGCGTGTAAGAGGGTGTGTTCGTCTGCAACCACACAGAGACAGGGTCAAGGGGGCCTCAGCCCTTCACTGGAAACACTTTCGGACTCAGCGTGGTGTCAAGAGCCTTGAGTTACAGAAGCAGCCACAGACACAATCTCACCTCATGCCCTTGGCCTGGAGGCTGAGACAGACCCACACACATTCAGCAGTTAAGAGAACACGATCACGGGCCCAGACGAGTGGTCCAGAACGCTGGTTCAAAGACAGAGCCCTAGACGCAGAGAGGGCTCTCCTCCGTTAAGTACTTGCAAGCTGGTGATTGGTGATGCAGGGGACTGGCCATGGAGTCCCAGGACCTGAGTTCAAATCCTGGCTCTGCTAGTTAGCCTTAGAGACTTTAGATCTCCTAGAGTCTAATGGGTTTGTAGGTGGAAGAGACAGAGCACAGAGCGCGGACCAGCGAGGAAGCCGCAAGGGAGAGTGTGTCTCTCAGCCCAGGCCCAGACCCCAGGCACGGTCTCGGCTTCTTTGCTCCTCAGCACTTTTTGTGGTAACAGCTCAAGGGCTTTCTGCTGTCTCCAAATAAAGGAGGTGCAAACAGCTGCCTGAGCCTGTGTGCGCAGAGCGCATCAGGTAGATATTAACCTTTTCACCAAGGACTCCTGCTGTGGGGGCCCTGAAGAGCTCTCTCCTCTCTGCAGGCCTTTGGAAATGAGAATTCCCAAAAGCCTCACGATGGAAAGTGCTGTCCACATCCAGAGAAAGAACTATGGAGTCTGAATGCAGATCAAAGCCGACGATTTGCTCTCTTTTTTATTTTTGTTTTCTCTTTCTCGTGGTCTTTCCCTTTTGTTCTGATTCCTCTTTACATGACTGATGTGGAAATGCGTTTAATATGATTGTACGCGTAGAGCCTATATTGGATTGCATGCAGTCTTGGGGAAGGGGGGGAATTTAGAACTCAAAATCTTAAAAAAGTGAATGTTGAAAACTAAAAATATATTAATTAATTAAAAAAGGAAATGAGAGACGTCATCACTCTCTGAGGAGCAGGTAGAGTTTTTAAGTTTTCCCTCCTTGAGCCTGTAACTTCATTAGAGCAGGGAAATCCTGGTGGGGAAAAGCCCTCATTGGATGACGATCAGCCAGCCTCATCACCTTGGAGAGCTGCCCAGGACGCTGAGAGAGGTTCGGGGGCTTGCCTGGGCCGCAGACTCAGCATGTGCTAGGGGGAGGATCTGAACCCAGGCTTTCTGACACTAAAGCCAGCAGTGCGCTAACCCCTGCAGCACACTGCCTCTGGCACAGAGGACAGAAGAAGGCCTCAGCTAGAGTGGAGGGGGCCCAAAAAAGCCGAGGAATGATTAGCCAATCAGGTAACACTCTTATGCTCTCAAGTCCTGCATTTGGAACCACTGCTTAGACAGAAAATCAATGCTAGGGAGGTCTGTGCTGGAGCGCCAAGGGGCCCCTCCAGCTGTAACGACCAGCTTGACCTTTCTCCTTGGCCCTGCACAGCTGGCCACTGGGACGCGCAACAGAAGAGCCCAAGAGAAAAACCACATTACCTTGCCAGAACACGAAGTTTGCAGACTCTGCATGACAGGCTGAGATCGGCGGGTGGTGGCTGACCTGGCGGACACAAGGAGAGAAGGAGACATTTGATCATATCAGTTTCCTTCACCTCCAACTCCCCGCTCCCTCACTGACCACCACCATCTTCTTCCTCTAGAGGTGGCTAAGTGGAGGAGTGACCAGCATGGCCTAACCTAAGGTTAGTTGTTTCAGGTATTGACGATGGTGAGAAGCCGACAGGGTGGGGACAGGGGTTGAAGGATCATGGCTTTGGAACTGGAAGGGCCTTCAGGGACCATTTACTCAATGCCCCCCCATTTTACAGATGAGGAAACTGAGGCCCAATGGAGCTGTGACTTGCCCGAGGTCAAACAGATAGTAAGCATCAGAAGTGGGATTTGAACTCAGAGCCTCTGACTCCTAGGTCAGTGCTCTCATCACTGAATCGTACAGTGTGGAAATTAGAAGCAAATTTTTAATTAAATGAGCACCAATTAACAATCACCAAGGATTTATTAAGCACGTGCTGTGCACCAGGCACTATTAGGACACAATGCAAACTGAAAATGACCATGATTCAATAAATATCTGTACATAAATTTAGAGGGATCTCTCCCCTGGTGGAAACTATCCTGTATTTATTTTGCACCCACTTTAATTTAATTTATTTTTTCTGGTTAATAAGCATTTATTTTCTCTCCCTCCCATTTCTCAGACTGAAGAAACCTCTTATAATAAAAATGGAAAATCAAGCGAAAGCACTGCCCACCTTGACTCCGTCCAAAGCTGTGCATGCCCTTCGTTAGCTCAGGCAGCGTGTGCAGCAGAGAGAGCCCTAGCTTTCAAGTCAGGAAGACGTGGGGTTTGAGTTTTGCCTGTGACCCAGAAGGGCTGTGGGACCTGGGAGAAGACCCTGAACCTCTCAGGGCCCTACCTACCTACATTGAGCCTCAAGGACCCAGGTTTTGGGTCTCCACAGACAGAGCTGAACCCCCAGTGTGGGTCTTAGGGGACAAAATTTCGCTGCCCTGAAGCCTTTCCAAACTTAGCTCGCTGGATACCCTGGGATGACAGATACATGGTCCATTGTCAGGTTCCATGGGGAAACTTTCTTCTTTCCTTTAGATTATCTGAGCACTTCACATAAATTAACTCATTTGAACCTCATAACAACACTGTGAGGTCTGAGCTAGCACTATCCCATTTTACAGATGGTGAAACAGAGGCAAAGTATCTTTTTTAGGGTCATATAGCTAGTAAGTGTCTGAGGTGGGATTTGAACCCATTTTTTTTTAAGCCATCTCCCAAGCCTGGAATGCCAAGCTTCACCTCTGCCTACAGAACTTCCTTCAAAGCTCACCTCGAGTACTCCGCTCCTCTGGTTATCTCCCATTTATTTACCTGGGGACGTGTTAGATGTTTGGAGGCCACAAAGCACTCCTCCCCTAGAAGGGTATAAACTCCCCGAGGGCAGGGACTGTGTAGTTTTTGTCTTTGCCTAGTGCTTAGCACATACCTGGCACCAAGGAGGACCTAAATATTTACACACTTGTTGGATTGAATTCAATTTTCATCCAGAAGGTTGTAAACCAATATCTAATCTGCAAGCAATTAAGAGACTCCAGGAACAGGCAAGTAGGAACTCACTTACTTTTCTGGTAAAGAATCATTATTTCTGCTGTATTTACTAATGAAAAGGCTAAAGAGCAAATGGCGGCCCAATCATTTTCTCCCCATTATATACCTTCCCACCAAATAGCGTTTCTCCATCTAATTAACTTGTTACTCCTGGTCTAAGCATGAGCAACACTGCCATTTGTCTGCCCTGGTGGCACAAGGCGTATGCTAATACTGTTTTCTTGTTTGGTTCTAAGGAGACCTCCCCATGCAACTCTGCCTCAATTTGTCTTTCTGCATCCCAGCAGGCTGCAGACCCACTGCTACATAAGCATTGACACCCCCAACTCCAACCCCTAAGATGCTCGGAGGAAAAAAGAGCAGCTTTGACTGGGGCCCCACTGTAAATGTCTGGCCACCGAGCTCAGCCAGAGCAAGGCTTTTTATGGGACTCCTAGATCCAGGCAGTCTTTGCATATAGCAGACTATTGCAAAGGGAGCCAGGCCCTCCCTGAGGAATGAGGCCTTCTCTCTATCTTTGGGGGCTGTATCCCTCACCAGGCTTTGGCCGGCAAGACCAACCACAGAATAAAAGCCATCCTTTAAGAACCCAAGGATCCAATTCAACTCAACCAGCATTGATTAAGCACCTACTGTGTGCCAGGCACTCTGCTGAGCATTGGGGATTCGAGGACAAAGATAGGTCAGTCCCTGTCCTCGGGGAGCTTCAGTTCTACCCAGGGATACAACATGAGCCCAGATAAGTAAACACAAAGTATACAGAAAATGTTGTTTGGTCATTCAGTTGTATCCAACTCTTTGTGACCCCATCCCATCCATGGACTATATCCATGGGGTTTTCTTGGCAAAGATACTGGAGTGGTTTGCCATTTCTTTCTCCAACATATAAAATAATGCCAAGTAATTTCCAGAGCACTAACGACTAGTATGTAAGTCATCAAACAGACACCAATTAACCAGTTACATAGCGATAACTCTGCCTGCCTTCTTACTGAGGAGGGCTTTCCTCTGGTGATTGGATGGCTCGGGCTCTTCAGAAGATTGCCCAGGGAAGAGGCCCGCCTTCCCCTCTTACTGCCATCATCAGACCTTGACTTCCTAAGCACAACCATCCTGGCTGTTTATGTCGTGTGCTGAGACGCCCCAGGTGTGTGAGAAGGGCACTGAGACACATCACTTGCCTTTCGTCAATCTTTCTGTCTCATTATATTCAGAATAATGTGGCCATTCATGTAAGCTTAGGACACAGTGCCTGGCAGCACACGAATGGCTTAATAAATGCTTTTTTCCTCTCTTCTTTCTTAGGGTCCTGTTTACTGAAAGCTGTCCCCAAAACCAGCCTTTTCATCAACTAGGGAGAATCACATACACCTGGACCACCAGGGCGTGCTAGACTCAAGCCACTGGCCAAGTTTCTCCCCAAAAATTCTGAATTCCATTTATCAGAGTGGGTTTATCAGGGTGTCTAATGCGCCTGCACAGCCCTCCCCAAAGGCTGTAGTATCACCGCTGCTACCAGAGGGTGCTCGGTCTGATGTTTAGCCTACCTCTCTTAATTCACTGAAATGCCAGGGCTTTTTATGAAACTGGGACGCTGGCCCCTGGCTTAAAATGGCCTTATACCGCTCCAATTTTTGTTTTAGGGATAATCAATAACACTAGAGCTCCCCCTTCCCCCTCACCTCCAACACAGAGGAAATCTACTGCCAAATGTCCACCAACTCCATCTAGAAGACTCATGCAATTGAATTTTCAGTAGTTGCATGATTTATTAAAATAAAATGTACTATCAAATGCTCCCCTTTCCAGGAAGGCTCTGTCCAGCTGGTTCCTCCCTCTCCCAATCTCCTTCTTCCTCTAATGGAAGGAAAGATTAAGGAAAGGGACTCTATGTTTAGAATCCACCACAATGAGCTCTGTAAACAATGTCCAAACAGAGTGGTGCTAGCTCTGGGGTTGGGGACTGGTCTCCTGGCCCAGCTTCGCCAGCTGCTGAGGTTTGGGGACAGCCGCCTCTTCAGGCTCCATATCCCATATCAGTACCTATATCCTTTATTAGTATATGCAGAATAAATAAAAGGTCATGGGCGGGGGAAGAGGGAGCCTCTAACAGTTGGAGGCCTCTTGCAGAAGGTGGCCCATGAGCTGAATTCTGAAGGAAACTAGGAATTCTAAGAGGCAGGTGTGAGGGCACATTCCAGGCACAGGGGATGTTCAGGAGTGCACTGACTCAGGGTGCTGCGTGTGGGGAATAGTCCAAAGGCTGGTTTGGGTGAACTGAAAAGTCCATGAGGAGGAATTATACATGATGAAGACTGAAAAGGTTGGACGGACCAGATTATGAAAGGGCTTAGAAACCACCGGCCAGACTGCTTTCTCAACAGTATGTTTGGGGCCCATTTCTCGGTCCTAAAGCCAAGGTGACGTGTTTCTGCCCCCGATGACTCTTGTGATTTCCAGGCTAGTAAGGGGATCTCGGTGCTCACCTTGGAAGTTGAGCATCCTGGCCTCCGGGAGGTCCCGGGGACCAGCAGCTCTCCCTCCATGGCGGCACCTTCTTCTATCTTGTCACCCTGGCCAGATTGGCCGCCTAGTTGGGTGGCTATTTTTAACTGCCAGTCTCAGTTTTATTGCAAATGCTGCTATGGCAACCCAATCACCTCGCCATTTTAAGTCAGTTATTAAAACGCCAGTCAAATTGGAATCTGACTCAATCTCCCTCATTCTTTTTAACCACCATTTGAAAAAAAAAATCCAGCCAACCCCCAACAGATGAAAGCCCCAAGGTTCTGAAGATCCCTGGGATTGTCAGCTGTGGGGCAGAAGAAGCTTCTTTCTACCTTCTGACCTTTCCTTTCTCCTGTAACATGGAGCAGGCTAGAGGAAGGACCCCCCAAGGAGTCAGGCAGAGCTTCCCCAGAGCTCCAGAGCAGCAGTGGACGCTGGGAGTTTGGTGCAGCGGTCAGAGGAGCCACGTTCACTCCCTATCCGTGCATGTCAGGCAAGGCCCACGACCTCTCTGGCCTTCAGTGTCCTCTTCTGTCCAAAGCTGGACAAGAGGAGCCCAAAGGAACAATGAGTTTCCATGCTAGCATGGCTATCTCTCTCCTGAGTTTAGGGATTATTCATGTGATGGATGTGCTCAGGCTGGTCTGGAAGGCCTCAGAAGTAAAAAGTCTTAGGCCATCTAAGTGGCAACTTCCTCTCTCTGAGCCTCAGTTTCCTCTTCTGTAAAATGGGCATAACATTTGTCTTACCTATGGGAAAGTAATTTGTAACACTCAGAGGTCACATAGAAATGATGGTTGAAAAACCATGTAAACCTTTCTACAGGAGGCAGAAGCTGTGCCATGGAGTGGAAAGCAGGTTGGGTTTTGAGTCAGAGAACCCACGTTCACATGCTGACTCTTGCATGTAACACCTGTAGAGAGCTTTACAAGTCTTAAAGCACTATACAAATCGCTAGCTATTGTTAACATTACATTATTCTTACAGAGGCAGATGGTGGTGTAATGGATAGAGTGCCAGGCCTAGACTCATGAAACCCTGAGTTCAAACCTAGCCTCAGACACTTAATGGTTGTGTGACCCTGGGCAAGTCACTTCAACTCCGTTTGTCTCAGTTTCCTTATCTGTAAAATGGAGATGATAATAATAGCTTCCATATCCTTGGGTTGTTGTGAGCATCAAATAAGAGATTTGTAGGAATGCTTAGCACAGTGCCAGGCACATAGTCAGGGCTAAATAAACGCTTATTTCCTTCCCTTCTACCTATTTTTGTTGTTGTTCAGTCATTTCTAACTGGGTTCAACTCTTAGTAACCCCCTATTGAGTTTTCTTGGCAGAGATACTGGAGTGGTTTGCCATTTCCTTCTCCAGCTCATTTTACAGATGAGTAAACAGAGGCAAACAAAGTCAGGTGACTTGCCCAGGGTCATACAGCTAGTAAGTGTCTGAGGCCAGATTTAACTCATGTCCTCCGGACTCCAGGCCCTGTACTCTAACCATTTTAGCACGCAGCAGTCCTGGGTGACCCAGGGCACCTCTGGGTTAGGCCTAGATGGCTCCTGCAGGACCCTTCTACCTCCAAATCCTTGGTTTTATGATCCTATGAGTTTGGATTTGAATTCCAGCTCCTGCCTATATGACCTCTGGGCCTCCACCTGCTTCCCGCACTGAGTCTTGGCTCCTTTCATCACAGGAACTGCTCAAGTTCAGCTTGGAGACAAAAATCCACCCGGTGAGGAAAGGTTGTTGAGGGGAGCAGAAGTCAGCCCAGCGGTGTCTGCCCCCAGACAGAATGGGCTGCCTTGGGGCCCAGGGACTGAGGGGTGGTAGGCAGGGGTCTCACTGGGGAACAAAGCATTTGCCTGTGTCTGACGAATGGCTAATCAAATTGAGGCAGGCAAATGTGATGGAGTGATAGTGTCACAATGGGCGATGAATATAAAGATTCCAGAGAAGCCCAGAAAGACTTAGATAAATAGATGCAGCAGGAAATCAACAGGACCAGGAAAACAACACATGCAAGGATGACAATAGCGTTAAAGGAAAAGACCACAATGAAACAACTTAAATGGAAGCCTGGGTAACTATGTAACTAGCTCAGCAAGGAAGACATAGGAGGACACAGCTCCCTCCCTGCTTTGGAGAGAGGAGGGAAGACCTCCAGGTCAAACGCTGCATATGATGTCAAACTTGGCTGAGGTGTTCACTAGGAAATCCTCTAATTACTGTTAAAATTAGCATCAATACTCTTCCTGAATCAGTATAGATATTGGTTATGAAGAAGGATTGTTACTGGGAGTTGGTAGCCACGGTCCCACACTTCTCTAGTCTCTCAAGTTTAGTTAATTAAGCAACTAATGCTTAATTGGGGACCATTGTTACTTGGGTCAGTAGTACCTGCATTTGGCTTTACTTCCTCGGAGGGGACATAGCCTGGTGGGTGGTACCTGCGGAAGGGGTCAAATGTAATTCTTCAAACTGCATGGGCAAACACGCCTGGTGCTCTTCAGAACCCACTCCAATAGCTTTAACAGAGAAAGAGCTCTCCACTCTCCCTGCCAGGCTGGTGCAGGGTTGCGCAGGCAATTGGACGATATTAGCAGGAGCTAAGTTTCAAGGATGGGTGAGGGGAGAAGTGAGAGTTGATGTCTCTCCCTCAAGTAGATGCAATGGAATTACCCTAAATGCTTCAAAGCTGGGAAAAGAGGACAATGGCTAATTCAGATGCACGTCCAGCGGAAGCCTGAAGGATGCCTCAGCAGCATTCCTGAAAGCCTCCACCTCCCCAAACCCTCCGAGCTGTGGGTTTCTATTTCAGCAGCAGCAGCAACCCTACCTGTTCTGAAAAAAACTGGAAGCCCTTCTCCTCGTGGATACATTCATAGGTCTCTCCAAGCACTGGATTGAAGGGCTTGCTTCCTGCTCGGAAGTAGCTGGACGCATAGGCAGACACGGCAAAAGCTGCCACGTACACCTGGGAACAGGCAGAAAAGAACACAGTCAATTCACCAGTCGAGCTTAGCAGCCAGATGGGTGGCACAGGGCCTGGAGGCAGGAAAACCTAGGTTCAAATCCTACCCCATGCACTCAGTAGCTGTGCAACCCAAGGACAGTACCTTAACCACACTCAGCCTCTGTTTCCTAGCCTGTAAAATGGGGATAATAATACTTTAGTCACTGGGTTGTTGTGAGGACAAAGTGAGATGCTCGTAAAGCACTTTATAAACCTTAAAACACTGTGTCAATGCTAGCTATTATTGTGAACAAGCATTCATTGAGCCCCTACTGTGTACAACGTAAAAGTTCTGCGTGAGTGTTGGGGACAGAATGATGATCGATAGTGAGTCATTGATTATAGATTTGGAGCAAAACCACACCAGGTCCATTTTGCAGGTGGGGAAATGGAGGTAGTCAGAGATGAAGTCACACAGCTGGTAAGTGTCTGAGGCAGAGCTTGAAATTAGTTCTTCCTGACTCTAAGCAGACAGTGCGGGGTGCTGGAAAGCACACTGGATCTTGGGTTGGAGGGCCTGAGTTCGAATCCCACTTCTGATGCACAGCAGCTTCTGGTCCTTCTGTAAAATGGGGGGTGGGGGGTGGTCACAAAGGGCTCTCCTAGCTTTAGATCGAAGATTCTATAATCCCTGGCCTAATGGGGCTTCTATCCTAGTAAGGGAAGGGGACAGATGGCCCATCATGAAGACATGGGACAAAGAAGTGGAGGGAGAAAGAGTCATCAACTGGGGGATTAGGAAAAGCCCGGAAAAGGTGACACCTGAGCTAAGCCTTTAGGGGAGAAAAGGAGTTAGAGAAGAAGGTAGATGGGGGAAAGTGCATTACAGTGCGCGTGAATGTCCCAAAATGGGAGGTGGTGCTGACTTTGGGGAAGAGTCCCTATGTCAGTTTGGTTAGAGGAGAGCCAAGTGAAGTAAGGCTGGAAAGTTAGCTGGGAGCCTGAGTGGGGGGCAAGGTAGAGAGAGAGCTTCTGGGCCAACCTAAGGCAATAGGGAGCTATCGAAGGTCTTTGAGTGCAGGGGAGGCCAGCGACAAGGCCGGGAAGATTATTTTCATTGTTGTGAGAAAGATGGGTGAGGTTGTTATTTAGTGGCTAACAGATACATTGGCCTATTAAAATGTAGCCCTGCTTTTATTAAGATTTAACTGAATCAGGTTCAAACACCTCTCAATTTAGCAGACAACCTAATTCATCAACAATCCATTAAAACCTCATTTTCCTTCAGTCAGACTGGATGGTTAATATTTAGCTCTTTTCTTCTCTCCTGCCTGGGCTCAGGGATGCGGCTAAAGGGGAAGAAATAATAATAATGCTGACATTTCTATAGCACCCTAAGGTTTGCCAAGCACTTTAGAATCTCATCTGAGCCCCCCACATCTACAAGTCACAGGCCATTAAGAAGGCCAGAGCACAGATCTCACAGGGCCACACTGGGAGGTTCAAATGCCACCATGTCCCTAAAGAGCTTTGGAAACCTCAGCTGTTGTCATGAGGGTCATAGTTTATGTGACTTGCTCAGGTTCTTTCGGACATCTAGTCCGGTGCTTTCATTTCTACGGTAGGCTGCCTTTGGAAGAAAAGGAGCAGGGTGACATAAACTGAATTAGAAATTGGCTACTTATCAAGCAAAGATTAAATGAGGTATTAACCTAAAGATTTTTCATTCATTCATTCATTCATTCATTTATTCATTCATTCTTCTCGCCTGGTGTGCTTAGGTCTAAAGGTTTGTTTAACAATTGAGAACATCTGCAAACCATGCGTTCCTTTTCTAGTTCCCTCTGTGTCCCAAAGTTTATCATTCAATAGAATTTTATTAATAAACTAACACACAGTAACTCTCTCTCTGGTAAGCTGGTTCCCAGACGGTCCTCCCACCCTCCAGGGCACACAGACCTACCCAGTCACAGAATCACCTTCCAACACTTCCTGCCTCTCCTTTGGCCTCCAACCAATGCTCCCAAACTGATTTTGCCATCCTCCCTCCCCCCTCACACAGACACACACCGGGCATTCCAGTCAAACCGGTCTAGATGGCCCTTCCCTATACACAACATTCCATCCCCCGCTGCTGTTTCCTGTCTGCCCCATCCCTGAAGCGCTCTCCTTCCCTACCTCAGTCTCCTGGAATTTCTGCATCCCTTCCAGCCTCAGCCTCCCCTGGCTGTCTCCAGTCCTCCCACTTAATTACTTCTCTCCCACCTAGTGCATCGTTTGCATACACTTATAGGTGGACACATCATCTCCCCCATTAGAAGGTAAGCTCCTTGAAGGCAGGGTCTGGTTTTTGTTGCTTTGTTTTCTTCACGTCCACAGCAGGTAGCACAGGGCCTAGCACACACTAGGTGCTTAATAAATGCTTGTTCAACTGAATCGTCTTGTACTTGTTAATGAAGAATCCAGATTCCTGGGTTTCCCAGACTTTAAAGAAGGGAGACAAAAAGCAGGGCCAGGCTCGTGGGAGAAACAGCCAGAATGCAAAACGACCCAGAAATGTCCTCTGCCAGTGAAGTCATTTGCAGCTGGGCATTTTCAGACCTCGGAGACTCCTTCTGACAAAGCTGGCCCTGAAACATTCATCATTGCCCAGAGAACACCAGGCGCTCAGGACTGTCTGACCTTCTCGAAAGGGGCTGAATAGGCTTGAACAGGCCACTGGGGGGAGCACGGGCCTTCAACAATTTCTGCCTTTCTGGGAAAAGTAGGAAAAACAAAAAAGCACAGGGAGGCAAAACTGAGTGGCTTTGCCGGCCCCCAGAGTGCTCCCCTCTTGGCAGGCTGAGGGAGGAGGCAAGCTCTCCTAGCATGGAACAGGCAAGATTTCCCCAAAGGGAAAAAAAAGAATAGTAACAAGCGTCTTGTATCTTAGATTTAGGGCTGGTGGGCACCTTTCAGAGATTGCTCACCCTCAAGATTACACATTAGCAAGGGAAAATGCAGGAAGGGCCCCCTTAGACTGTGCCTCAGTAGCCTATGGATAGGGCCATCAGTGGTCATGGCTCTAGGGCTGGGAAGCACCTTCCGGGTCATCCAATCCAATCCCCCCATTTTACAGATGGCCAACCAAGGTCACAACAGCAATGAATGGCAGAGTCAGAAGCCAGACACTGTGCAGCACCATCTCCCTCATACCACCGACTCCTCTGGGTGAGATTCCTCTGTGCCAGGGAGCAGACAAGCCCTCCCTTCCAGGTCCATCCACAGAGGTCATCCTGTCCTTCCGGGAAGGGCGGGACTTTCCAGCCGGCACTGAAAGGGCTACACAAGGTCGCCCAGGCTCCCATAGGGTCCCAAAGCTCCGTGCACCCCTCATTCTCCTGCCAGCCTTCAGCCTGCTCTAACAGAAAAGGGCTGGCTCAGGAAGATCAGGAAGCAGCTTTAGCCCTCCCTGGCTGATGGGAACACGTATCTGGTGTTAGACCCGTCACCCCTGGACAAACGAGGCTCTGGTCATTTCCCCCCCAAGTAGAACCAAGTTAAAGAAAGGAATGCAGTTTAACCCTATCTGTAAAGTGCATGTGGGTATGAAGAGGTTTACCTACAATTCCCAGAAAAACCTTAAAACTTTGAGATTCCTTGTAGACTCACTTATCTCTCTTTGACAAAAGGAACCTGGCTTCAGTTTTGTTTACCGGTCCCAGGAAACCCTTCAAGTTTTAGAAACTGCCTTATTTCCCTTTGAAAGCAAACTTCCCCTCCCAGCTCCCTTCATTATCTATTCTCATTGTCTGTTCAAATCACTCAGACATTCCAAACGGAAATTCTCACCTGGACCCTTTTCCAAAGGACCCACCTCCCCCATCAACTGGCTTTCCCATTGTTTTGCCTTCCTGGCCATTCCCACCCTTAATCCTAGCTAGGCCCCAGGGTTCCTTTCACCCCAGCTTGCTGGCTACCCCCATCCAGATCTCCCTAGACCCCTCCTCCCCTCATCCCAAACTGCTTGGCCACTCCCTTGGACCCCTCCTCCTGTCACTCCAAACTGGATGGCCCCTCCCTCAGTCTGTACTTCAGGCTCACCCTTCCCCCAGCGTCACCTGACCACCTTGAAACCCTATTTAGATCACTGATGTTTGGGTTCCTTTGGAGTCTAGCCTATATGCTTATCTTTAATAAACTTTTTCTCTGGCTGGAAGAAGATCTGAGTTGAATTCATTCAGGCAGATTCATGCCATGATTTGGGCTTTTTCCCACGATCTTGGGGTGCCTCTGTGCATCTAAGAGTACCCCAAAACCCCCCCACTTCAGGTGTGTGCACATGTGTGTGTGGACATGCATGTGTGTGTGGTTGGGGATGGAGTGGTGGGGGAGAAGACCCCTTCCTTGAAGGCCTTCCATGTTATGGTGAGGGAGGCACCAAAGTAAGCCCAGGAGGAGAACCCCTCTGGGTCTGGATTTTCTCGTAAATGAGGACAGCATGGTCTCTTACAGCTGTGATCCTACGAGCCCTATCACATGGCCCTGAATGGCAAAATCTGTGCTGAGCTACGGGCCTTCCTGTGTTTGCCCTTCCTAGTGTCCCGAGCATGAGAGACCCTCCCTCCAATCACCAGCATATCCTGGGGAAGCCCCACCTTCTGCAGGGCAGGACATTCCCTTCATTCTCTAGAGATTAACTCTTTCCTCCCTTCCCGACAGTCCTACCTTCCTTAGGGTGAGCTGTGACTTTCTCTGTTCTCCAGGGAGGTCCCTAAAGAGGTTTTCTGGGGTGTGGGATGAGATCTCTTTCTGAGAGTAATCCCAGATCACACAGGGAAGTCCAAAGTAGGACTCAAACCCAGCTTTTCCGGGGTCAAAGTCCATTTGCTATTTCCCATAGCCTCTCAAAGAGTCTAAAAGAATCTGGGTTTGGGTTGATAGAAGAATTAGCTCTGTGGAGGGTGGGGGCTGACAGCTGGTGGTGACTCATTAGCATTTCCACAGTAGACAAGTCACCACAAGCCATCAGCCTGCACAGACAGGAGGGCACCTGGGCCAGAGGCCTGGCCTCTGAGACCCCAGCATTTACATGGTCTGCCAGAAGATAAGCAGCCTTATTGTTTGCCTGGTGGCAGCGGGGAGAAAAGAAAGAGGCAAACTCTGCCTGGCCACTGGGAGAGAGCAGGGGACAGACGGGCAGGTGGGAGGCCAGGGAGGAATCAGATGACCTCACACACTCCTGTAGCTCAGACAGCCGGGATGGGGGGAGGAGGAACATGAGAGAGGCTTCCACCTGGCTTCTTCCTGCCTTTTCTAGCTTAAAGGTTTTCTGTGGGTACATGGAAAAGGGGCTTCACATAAACCCCCAGAGAACAGAAATGGAAGCACAGATGCCAAAAAGAGGGAACATGATCCTGGAGGGAAATTTTTGCCCAAAAAGGGCAAAAAGAGCAGTTTCTAGAACAAAATTCTGGAGGTTTGTGAGCGCACACACACACACACACACACACACACACACACACACACACACACACAGAGACACATACACGTGTGTTTTCTGTACCTTCTTGACAGACCTACATGTGTGTGTGTGTGTGTGTGTGTGTGTTTTCAGATAGTACAGTGGAAAAGAGTGTTAAATTTGGAGTCAAAGGACCTGGGTTCAAATCCTGTCCCTCCAGATAACCATTATGACCTTAGGTAATAAGGTCTCCCAGGTCCTTAATTTCCACATCTATAAAATGAGGGGGTTGAGTTCAGTGACCTCTGAGATCACTTCAAGCCCTTGATCTAGAATCCTATGAGAGGTTCCAGATTCAAATCCTGACTTTGCTACTTGTATAACCTTGGGCCACTTACTCAATGTCTCCGGCCTCGGTCTCCTCTACTGTAGAAAGAGGGAGGTGGGATTTCCGGCAGTCCCCCCTCCCCCCCAGCCCCTGCCCTCGGGCACGGGAGCCCATCCCCCTCACCATCCTCTCCAGGGGGTCTGGTGTCCTCGAGGCCCGGTCCAGCAGCTCGCTGTACTCTAGCTCCTCACAGAGCCGCTGTAGCGTGTTTAGAGGCTCATTTAGCTCCACAGGCATGGCCACCTTGGACAGGTCCTTCCCGATGTTGTTTCTCAGAATATTCCAGAGGCTGATGCTGCTGGTGTTGGGGCAGGGCGCCGGCAAGCAGGTCCGCCGTTTGCTCTGGCCTCCTGGGTCACTTTCGAGAATGGGGCCTGGAAGGGACAGAAGATGACTCACCTTCAGCTCACCAATCCATTTCTTTCCCTCTTTCGCTTGTTAAAATTTAACTCTAGTTTAAAAAAAATTAACTTATTAATGTTTTCACACGTCATATCTGAATGGGCTATTGTATCCAACCATGTGCCCAGAAAGGCTTCCCTTGTGAAAAAGAAAAACAGTTCAGAAAACCAGCCAACAAAGTCTGACAATATATGTGGCATGTTGTACCCACATGCCACCACCTCTCTTAGTAGGCAGGCAGGTGCATTTCCTTATCTCTTCTCCAAGACTGGTCACTATAGTTACACAGAGTTTGCCTTCGTTTTAGGGTCTTTTCATTTACGTTGATGTAGTTTCTGTGCAGAATGTTTTCCTGGTTCAGCTTACTTCCCTCTGCATCAGTTCATATAAGTCTTCCTGTGTTTCTCTGAATTTTCATACACTTCTTCCTTTATTCATTCCCCTCACCCTGGGGGCCCAGGTACCATCCTGGTACAGTCACCTTTGTGCAAAACAACACCAAGAGCTCTCATTTCTACAATATGTTTGAAGTTTACAAAGCATTCTCCTCCCCTTCCTGGTGCTACTCTCAGAGGACACTCCATCTCCAGACTCCACATCTCTTCACTGGCTGTGCTCCACACCTAGAATGCCCTCCCTCCTGGCTCCCTTCAGGAATCAGTTCCAAAGCCGCTTTTTTTTTTTTTGGCTTTTTTGATGAGACAATCGAGGTTAAATGACTTGCCCAGGGTCACACAGATAGTCACTGGTCCAGTAAACAGGACCCAAAGAAAGAAGAGAGGAAAAAAGCATTTATTAAGCCGTTCATGTGCTGCCAGGCACTATGTCCTAAGCTTACATGAATGGCCACGTTATTCTGAATATAATGAGACAGAAAGATTGACGGAACGCAAGTGACATGTCTCAGAGCCCTTCTCACATGCCTGGGGCATCTCAGCACACAAAATAACCAGCCAGGATGGTTGTGCTTGGGAAGTCAAGGTCTGATGATGGCAGTAGTAAGAGGGGAGGCGGGCCTTCATTTTCATTCATTTCTTTCCTGAAATGCTCCAAGCACTAAACTCTGTCCCTGACTGCAGAAGGTCCCTCTTTGTCAAGGCAATCACAGTCTGTGGAACACCACCAAGATTTGATTAAAATGCCTGTGTCAGCACACATAGCCCACCCTGGCACCCCCTCCTCACGTCCGGCTGCCCGGCCGCTGTAGCCCACACACAGCCAAACGTTCAGGGGCCCAGGGCATATCCCACCATTCTGAAGGCTTCGGCCAAAAGACTCTTAACCTTCTCTATGCTGTGAGCAGAGGACATGCACAGCCCTTCCTCCTCCTCTTCCCCTGTCATCTTCCTTCTCTTTCTCCATCATCTTCGTCCTCTTCTGAATTCAGATTTCTGACTCTAAAGCCAGTGCTCCAAACGGCCTAATGTTTTTCTAAACAGTTTTTGATGAGGTGGTAGGTTGTTTGGTATTTATGGTGCTCATTAGATAGCATTTATTATATGCCTACTGTATGGAGAGCCCCAAGTTAGATGCTGAGTAGACACAGGCATAAGCAGTTACTCCTGCCTTCAAGAGTCTCGTGAGCTAGTCATGAAGACAGGGCACAGATGGAAACTAGAACCAATGCATGGTAAAGTGCAAAGGTCAGAGGGTCCTTAAAACAAACCTGGGGAAGCTGTCACACTGTGGGGTTCCTGGCTGACAGCTCAGGGTCCAAGTAACACCATACCTCTGGATCAGTTGGGAGGGTTCCAAGTGAGGAAGTTCTCTTCCTGTCCCCTGCCCCAAGGAGGTGACAATCTACTGAGTGGCACCCCCAGCCTAGGCTGGCCTGAGAGCCTCTGGGATTCCCCATGGCACCAGGTGGCTGGAATCCTCCACCTAGAGAACAAGCTTTTCTGTGGCTAAGTCCTCCTTAAGCCACATGCAAGGAAGCTTTTTTAATCTGCTATGATTGCTGGGAGGCTATTTTCTTTTTCCTTTTTTTTTTTTTTTGCAAGGCAATCAGAGTTAAGTGACTTGCCCAGGGTCACACAGCTACTAAGTGTTATGTGTCTGAGGTCGGATTTGAACTCAGGTCCTCCTGACTCCAAGGCTGGAGCTCTAGCTACTGTGCCACCTAGCTGCCCCCAGGAGGCCATTTTCACAAAGCCTGTTAGCCATTCTTGGAATCAGGCAATATTTACTCTTCAATGCTATGACTTGTTAGAAGAAAAGAATCAAACAAACTTAGGGTATCCTTTTTATCATGACAGAGCCTCAGTTGGCTGGAAGGGGGTGTTCTCAGAACCTCTCATGGGGCATAACCTCGAGGATGTGGTACTTGTCACTTTCAAAACTGTGATTCCCCCCACTCCAATCTCCTGAGGACCCTGGAAGCCCGCCATGTTACATGCCATACAAGAGACACTTAAATGCTCTAATATTCCAACAGAGTGGAAGAGGCAGCTTGGGATGGTGGATAGGGCACTGGATTGGGAGTTAGGAAGACCTGGATTCCAATCTCACCTTAGATACTTACTAGTTGTGTGACTCTCACCAAGCCACTTAGCTTCTCTGGGCCTCAGTTTCCTTATTTTGTAAAAAGATGGGGTTGGACTCGATGGCTGTCTGGCTGTTGAGGTCCCTTTTGGGTTCACCTCTAGGGTCCTATGATCTGTGATCTCATGAATGTGGGGCCTCCTGCTAGTGACCACAACCCATTTCTGAATACCCAGGCGGGGTGACTCTCATCTAGGCTTCTAGAAGCTCCCCTTGTGGGGTCCATCCAACACGCTGATGGCCAATCCTCACTTTCCCTTGACCTCACAAAGGTACCAATGGAGCCCATGGATGGACCGTCAGTTATTCCTTGCTCCTGCTATATGACTGGCCCATCTTTTTGAGCATGGATCTCTTTGGCGGCATGTTCGCTTGGTTTCTCCCATTTGGCCACGGGCTCACACCCACCATCTGCCTCTCCACCTTGGTCCCAGCAGTCCCCATTTTCTGTCCTTAAGGCCTGTCCTGTACCATGGCTGGTGGCCACAGACAACCAGAAGGATGGACAAAGGATGGTGTTCCCTGAAGCTGTTAGTTTAGCGGCCTCAAGCCTGTGGCGATAAATGTATACAGCAAATAGAAATGGATTCTCACAGGCTACGTCGTGACTTGGAAAATGGCAAATTAACATTATCTCTGTTGTATTATATTTTTGTTTATTTTGGAAAACATTTCCCAATTTCATTTTAATCTGATACAGGCCACAGGGGAGTTTGCAGGTCCTGAGTCTGACCTCTCTGGCATACAGTAGGGGAAAAAAGACAACTCTGAATAGCAGTGGATACTATTAACCTAGCGACTGGTCCTTGGGGGCACTAATGCCTCCCATACCATTGGCAGAATGGACCACTACATTCACCATGTGAGGACTACTTTAGGACCAGGTCTTAAACTCCTGATGTGTGCCCTTCTGGTTCTCTGTGACTAATCCAACAAGCACTTATTAAGCACCTACTATGGATAAAACCCTGGCTTAAAGACAAAAAGTGGCTGCTGTCTTTAAGGACATTCCAACCCAATGGAGGCTTCATAGGGCCTGGCTTGGTCCCTGTACATAGCCAGTGCTTAATAAGTGCTCCTGCTCCATGAGGAGAAAAACATTGCCTTTTAGACAGGAAAATGTTTTGGTCTTACCCAAAGTCTGCCTCTCATTCTCCAGATCATTGCTGAGGTTATCCATGGAGACGTTATCACTTAGGTCACTGACGTATGAGTCATCATCAGAAGCCTGCAGGAGAAGAGAGAAATATCTTCATTAAGCCAAGCGTTCCAGGGCCACACCATCACGAGAGGTGAACAAATGGTGGCTAGGATGGTTTCCCCAAATGGCTCAATGCTCCTTGAGTTATGAGGCACCAATGTTTTTCAGGGCATTGTGATCATGCTATTTTCGCAGCTACCTCCTCCAGTCTGATAAAAAAGACATTCAAAGCCTTTTAGCCATTTACTGGAATCAAGCAATATTCATTCTTAAATGGTGTGGCTCATTATCAGAAAAGCATCAAATAAACTCATGGTATCATCATAATTGCGCAGAAGCCCCATTTGGAATATTAATCATAATAAACCCTTATTTTTTCTGAATTAGTTAGAAAAAACTCAGCCAGATTGAGTTGAAGTTTAGAGTTTTATTATCTATGAAAACAGGATTTATGGAAATCAATACCATATGTGAGCTTGCCAGGAGAATGCCTTCCCCACTCACGAAAACAAGCCCTGGGAGCGGCATTCATTTGTTCTCAACGACCGAACTAACGGAGGATTCTCACCAACTCACTGAAGCAGGACAGAACCTGGCAACACAATTATTCATCAGCTCACGTGACAATGTTCATCTTACGGTGACACACGGGTTAAATTCCACTGGGACAAAGGCTACTATGGGAGAAAGCCAGATTCTTTCACTGCGGTGGAATTTTGCTTAAGGTGAACACATTCACTAGAAGTTAATCACTCTCCCGTGTTGTGAGCTGAAGAGAGTTTCTGAAGTGCTGCTTTGCCTTGATCCATCTGCCCACGAGCCAATTTTGTAAAGTGAGAGGGAGATGTCACATCCATGTTCATCCTCACTCCTCTCCCAAAAAGCCTGGACTTGGGGGGATGGGCTGTTCTGTAGTTCCAGTGGGTACTTTGAGAGTCTCCAGGGTGTGGGGGAAGGGGATAGGCCGTCCTGTTTGAAGTGATAAGGGCTAACAAGGCTCAAAGAAAAGCTACTTGATGGCAGAATAAAAAACCCCATATATCTCTACTCCTACTCCTACTCCAGCCCACCCCACCCAGGCGTGCTCGTACCAGCCACATTTAATCAGAGGTTGTCATCACAGAGCACATGGGCCCTCACTCCACAGCATCCAATGAGACAACACATATGGAAAAGTACTTTGCACATTTTATAGCATTATGCAAATCTGTTGTTGTTATTATTATTATTAGTTGTTGTTGTAGATGGCTCATTAAAGCAACGTAACAAAAACTATCTTAAAATTTAAAGAGAAGTAAAGGCCAAACCTCATTTTCTGAGGAGCTTGGAGACAGCAAGACTTCTTGTGCGTCGAAAAACTCTGAAAGGGAGTCTGTGATGGAGAGCCGACTTTCATTGGAGAGCTGATGGACGAGGGCTCTGCTTTCTTCTCCAGAGATCTCCTATTTTCAAATCAAACCAAACCAAACCAAGACACTGAGAAAGGCTATCTGGAAATTTGTAAGGTACAAGGCAAAGAAGAATCTTTAAAAAAATCAGTCCCGGAGCACCCCTGATCAGATTTCGATTTCAAAGCGGGAGCGAGTTCCAAAAATCAAGAGGCCCAAACGTTCACTGAGCAAAGTGGAAAGCCAAGTTCCCTAGGCCCTGGACAGGCCACTCACAGAAACGGGTCACCACTCACATTTCAAGGCAAGGGGATATTCTACCAACAGAGACAATTTTTTTTTCATTCAAGAGAGAAAAAACCTTTTTCTGAAATGGAATTCCCACCCTTTCTGTTTCCTCCTTCTTCCACCTTCTATGCAAAGGGCTCCCAACCTCTTGTGGTCCTCATATCACCCTCCTATGGTGGTTGTTCAGTTTCATCCGACTCTTTGTGACCCCTTATGAAGTTTTCTTGGCAAAGATACTGGAATGACTTGTCATTTCCTTCTCCAGCAGATTAGGCAAATGGAGGTTAAGTGACTGGCCTAGGGTCACACATGTAGTGGGTGTCTGAGGCTGGGTTTGAACTCAGGTCTTCCTGACTCCAGGCCTGGCACTCTACCCACTGGGCCACCTAGCTGCCTCCAAACCTTCCTATACCCCTAGCTAACATGAAAGAAATAAATTCAAGAGTTTACCAGGTCTATGCACATGAGAAATAAAAACATTAATTGTAATAGGATAATCTAGTTATCCAATATTCTCCATACTCCCTTGCCCATCTTCCATCATTCCCTCTATGCTAACAATTGCTTTCTAACTCTTACTTGCACCAAAGATCTGAACATACTTGTGCACGAGATTCAGAATGATATTAATTTCCTTCTCCTGGGGAAGAGCAACACATCTCTGGCACAGAAGGCAGGTTGGGTGGATTTGAGCTAGGAAGGAGCCCTAGTTCTGGCAGGAAGAAGAAATCCACCACAGTTACCGACCCCTTTCCCTCCCTCAAATTTCTTTTATCTGCCTCAGAAAAAGTAAGAAGTCAGAGCAGTAAGCCCAGAATCCCCACTTCTTCCCAGCCCTCAAGGATGGCCTCAAGCTCTCTGGGCAAGATGGCCATGACACTCTGAACCTACACTCAAAATGGGATACAGGAAATCCTCCTGCTCCTCTCTGGGAAAAGACTCGAGCCAGTGCCATTCAATTACTTAGAAGATGGCGCATTGGCCCATCTGGTGCTGCCCAACAGCATACTCTGCACCAAGTGACTTGACGATTCTATCATGGTAGCTAAATAAGCTTGTTCCATATCACTCACACATCTAATAACACTTCATAGGCTGGCCCTTGGAATGATACAGACAACCAAGGAAAAAGAAGAGTTTAAATGCTTGAGGCCCATTCCACAGGCCCATAAGATGAAGGTACTGAGGATCGGCATTCATTTTTTAAATTATTAACAAAGAGTAAAAGAACCGAAATCTTCCTCTGGAGTCTTTGTTACGTGGATGACCTTAAGTTCTCAAAGATTGTACCAGTACAGCACCAGCTTTGGTAGGGCAACTAGGTGGTGCGGTGGATAGAGCACTGGGCCTGGAGTCAAGGAGATGTGAGTTCAAACCCAACTTCAGACACTTACTAGCTGTGTGAGTCTGAACAAGTCACTTAACCTGTTTGCCTCAGTTTCCTCATCTGTAAAATGAGCTGGAGAAGGAAACGGCAAACCACTCCTGTATCTCTACCAATAAAACCCCAATGGGGGCCACGAAGAGTCAGACATGACTGAAATGACTGAACAACACCACCAAGCCGGGAAGGCCATGAGGATGGAGTCGGGGATTGACTGTGTGTCTGCATTTTCTTACATATATTTATTTTTAGTTTTCAGCATTCGCTTTTGTAAGATTCTGAGTTCTCAATTTTTCAGCCCTGCCCCCACTCCCCCTTCCCTAAGACGGCACGTGATCTGATATAGGCTATACATGTATGATTGTATTAAACATATGTCCACATTAGTCATGGAGTGAAAGAAGAACCAGAACAAGAGTATTTGTCCATATTCTGAAGCCCAGTCTCTCCTAGTTCAGTGACATAGGCAGTGTGGTAGATAGTGGCAGTCAGAGGACCTGAGTTCAAATCCCACCTCTGATGCTTGGTACCTGTGTGATCTTCAGCAAGTCATTTGAGTTTGTTGGGCCTCAGTTTCCCTCTGTGTGAAGTGAGGGGTTTAAACTAGATGGCTTCTGCAGTCTCTTCCCCATCTGGAATCCAGTGATTCTAAGAAAGTCATCAGCAGGTCAACTAAAGGTGGATGCATTTCTCATCCACAGCAACTTTGAAAGGTGACAGATTCACAGAGGGGTCACAATCTACACTGTGGGCGGAGGGGAGAGACCCAGGAAAGGCGTTAACAAGAACTTCCTCATACAACCCAGGATGCCATCATCATTTCCAAGATGGCACTTCATAATTCATATGCCAAAGAGAAGGAGAGAAGAAAGGATAGAGGAAGAAAGGAGAAAAAAAAGAAAGGAAAAAAGAAGGGGGGGAGAAGAAAAGAAAGGAAGAAAAAAGGAAGGAAGGAAGGGAGAAGAAGGGAAAAGGAGAAAGAAAGAGAAGAAAAAAGAAAGGAAGGGAGGAAAAGAGAAAGGAAGAGAAGAAAAAGGGAGAAAGGAACAAAAGGAGGGAAGCAAAAAGGGTGGAAAAAAGAAAAAAGGAAGCAAGAAAGGAAAGTGGGATGGGAAAGGTGAGAACGGGGGATGGAAGGAATATCAGAGTATAACACTGGGAACCTTGCTGCCTGGGGCTTGCAGGGGAGGGGGCTCTAGGAGTTAGGAAATGAAGATGGGAGTTCTGGAGACAAGTTTCATCCACCAAGCCAGCTAGCCAACACCATCTGTCTTCTTGTTTGTCATGCCTATGAACCACTTAAAAGACACCCAGGGCCACATTCCATACTCGGTCTCCAAGAAGCAGCAGCTGAGCTTCCTGGGGGCAAAACACTGACATTTTCATTGCTGGGGAAGTCAGCTAAAGTCACTGCTAAATCAGCACCTGGGGCAAAAAACAGGGAGAAGTATGGGAAGCTTAGCCAGACACTGAAAAGGGGCGTAAAGAAATAGAAAAATGGCATCAACTGGGTTGATTCCAAAAAGACTTTGGAAGGGTAGGATATTGGGCCAAGATAAAAAGACGGAAAATTAACTGGGACAAACGTAAGTCATATCTGCTTTTGGCAGCAATAAAAAATACTGGGTTTGGTGCCAGAGGGCTCGAGGCGGAATCCCAGATGCTCAGCTGTCGGGCAAATGAGGAAGGTCTTGGTGCCTTGTTTTCCTCCTTTGTCAAGTGAGGGGTGTTGGACTGTGGCCTGCATGGTCTCCCCGGTCCTCTTCTCTGTGAAGGCTTTTAGGTCAGTGTTACTGGGGTGAGAGGACACCCATGCCTGGAGCACTTTGGGCTCTGTTTTCAAATCCCCAACTGCTACAAATCTCAGATCAGGCAATGACAAAGCGGCATCTTTGTCGTTCAAGATGAATGATTAACTCGCTGAGGAATGATTATTCTAATAAAGGTAGAAATGGGGGAAACACGACCTACAAAGAGCATTCTAAACAAAAGGAAGAGCACAGGAACAGCCAGGGGTTGGGAGAGGACCCATCTTTTCCCCATTCATGTGATCTCACCTCTCTCTTTCTTTGTTCCTGCATCTGAGAAATGGGGAGAATCCCTGAGAGTCAGAAGGCCTTCCATCCTCCTGGGCAGCAGGTCTCAGTGCGCCCACTGCCCAGCTCTCACTACCGAGGAGCTGTAATTCTGAGTAAATTTTTCCTTACATCTTTCTGCCTGTGAGACTCCCTCACTTCCTTCAAAGGTCAGTTTAATAATAACAAAAATATGTAATAATAATATTTGGTATAGTACTTTAAGGTTTGCAAAGTGCTGTACAAATATTCTATCAGTTTATCTTCCTAACAACCCTGGAAGGTAGGTGCTATTATCACCTCCATTTTACAGATAGGTAAACTGAGGCAGAGGCTTGACTAACTTGCCCAGGGTCACACAGCTAGTAAGTATCTCAGGCAGGATTTGAATTCAGATCTTCCCAACTCCAGGCCCAGCACACTGTCCACTGTACATACAGCTACCATCTACTCAGGGTTTTCCTGAACCTCCCAGCTATTCATTCTCCCCCCAAAAAAATCACCTCCTGAGTTTTTACAGAGGAAGCATGGCAGATAGTGGATAGAGAACTGGTCTCTAAGCCAGGAAGGTCTGGATTCAAGCCCAATTTTGACATATCCTGGTTGTGTGACCCTGGGCAAGTAATTTTACCTCTTGCGATCTAGGAGACTCTGTAAAACTATATGCTGCAAAGAAAGTGCCAATATGCAATGTTTCCGCATTGGTGGAAAGAGTAACCACACTACAGAGTTTCCTGACTACAAGGAAATCACAGTTTGTATCCTTACCATTTATCCCTATATTTGTATGAACTTATATATGTCCATGTAAGCTTCCTGAGGGCTTGGAATGATTGTTTGTATCCTGTGTCTAGCACAGCTCATGCTACATAGTAGGTGCTTAATAAATGCATGATTGCAAGTCATTCCCCAATTGATAAATGGTCAAAGGATATGAACAGGCAGTTCTCAGATGAAGAAATTAAAGCCATCTATAGTCATATGAAAAAATGCTCTAAATCACTATTGATTAGAGAAATGCAAATTAAAACAACTCTGAGGTACCACATCACACCTATCAGATTGGCTAATATGACAAAACAGGAAAAGGATAAATATTGGAGAAGATGTGGGAAAATTGGAACACTAATGTATTGTCAGTGGAGTTGTGAACTGATCCAACTATTCTGGAAAGCAATTTGGAACTATGTCCGAAGGGTTATAAAATGGCACATATCCTTTGACCCAATAATACCACTTCTAGATCTGTGTCCCAAAGAGATCATACAAAAATATTTATAGCAGCCTTTTTTGTGGTGGCAATGAATTGGAAATTAAAATGCCTCAGTTTACCCATCAATTGGGTAATGGCTGAACAAGCTGTGAATATAATGGAATACTATTGTTCCATAAGAAATGATGAGCGGGTGGATTTCAGAAAAATCCGGACAGACTTGCATGAACGGATGCTGAGTGAAGTGAGCAGAACCAGGAGTACATTGTATACAGTAACAGCAACACTGTGTGATGACCCACTTTATCAGACTTAGCTCTTCTGAGCAAGGCAATGATCTAAAACAATTCCAAAAGATTCAAGGTGGAAAATGCTATTCACACCCAGAGAAAGAACTATGGTGTCTGAATGCAGATGGAAGCATCTTATTTTCTCTTTCTTTTGTTGTGTTTTTTCTTGCTCTTGATTTTTCCCTTTTGTTCTGATTCTTCTTTCACAACATGACTAATGTGGAAACATGCTTAATATGAGCATACATGTATAGCCTATATCAGATTGCACGCCGTCTTGGAAAGGGGGGAATAGAAGGAAGAGAGAAAATTTAGAACTCAAAATCTTATAAAAGTGAATGTTGAAAATGAAAAATAATTAAATTAATTAATTTTAAAAAATAAACGTATGATTGACTTCCATGAAACCTCAGTCTTCCTCTGCCACAGCTTTGGGTTCTGCCCTTTGTCACCAAACAGAACAAATCTGGTCCCACCCAGGAGAGCTCGATCTCGCACCCCTGGGACGTTCTAAGGGAAATGTTTTGTTAACTTGAAAGTGCAAGGGAAATGTCAGTTATTGGTATAGTCGGGGGCTAGCTGTTTGTGCTGACTTTCCAGAACGGCCCAGGAGGGCAAACAGGAGGGCTTTCCCAACAAAAGGAATGGAATCACTGAAAAAAAAAAAACCAGAGAAAATGAAACAAACTCTTGTTGCCTTTCAGCCGTGTCCGACTCTCTGTGACCCCATTTGAGTTTTCTTAGCAAAGATCCTGGAGCAGTTTGCCATTTCCTTCTCCAGCTCATTTTACAGATGAGGAAACTGAGGCAAACAGGGTAAAGTGACTTACCCAGGGTCACACAGCTAGTAAGTGTCTGAGGCCAGATTTGAACTCAGGTCTTCCTGCTTCTAGGCCCAGCGCTCTAGCCATGCACCACCTAGCTGCCCAAACTCTTCTTCTGGGGTGAAAATAAAACAATAAAAATGACCAAATCAAGGTAGATCTTTGAAGGAAGATTTTGTAGAATATGGTACCAAACTTAATGAGGCTGTGGATTCTCTGCTTCCCCTCCCTGATTCTCTCTCTACTTACAAATCTGTGGTAGATCCCTGGTGTTCACAGAGGACTTTACTCTATATGCAAACAACCTATTGGATCCTTACAACAATCTCCTGAAAGTATCATTGCCCCCATTTCACAAAGGAGGAAACTGAGGCTCAAAGAGTAGTCTGGCTCCCACCACCCCTTTCCAGCCTAATTTCTGCTCCTTCTTTTCCTAACCCCCAGCTCCAACCCAACTGGTCCATGCAGAGCACTCCCGGAACACTCCTCACTTCCATATATTTGGATACACCATGCCCCAGGCACGGAATGCCTTCTTTCTTAGAATCCTGACTTTGGTACAAGGCTCCCCTCTGGGGTCACTTCCTTCTAGGAAGCTTTCCCTGATCCCCCCCAACCCTAGTTTGAAGGGCTCTCTCCAGCCTCACTTATGTTACTGGACAAACTATATCCTCCTCCCCCGGCCCTCTCCACCCCAGGAGACTGTAAACTTCTTGAAGGAAGGAGCAGGGTAATTCATTTTTGTCTCCATGTCCTTGGTACACAGACTGGCCCACAGACTGGCTGCTTGAGAAATGTTTGTGAAACTGAATTGAATTAGGAGATCTGTCCAAGGTCACAGGGCTGATAAATGGTGGGCCTGAGGCACAAACCTAGGATTTCTGGCGCCACCAGGGCTCCTTCCACTGACCCAGAACAGCTTTTCCCCTGTACTCTTTCAAGGGATCACTGTTTCTTCCATTTCCACATTCCAGCTGTATCTCTTAGGTAATATTTAACTAAGAAATGACTATCTTGGCTAAGATCTCTCTAACCCAAGTTTCTTCAGTGGTTGACAATGGCAATATTTTGTCCCAGACTGCTTAGGAATTCATTCTGGCCCAGCAGAGGTTTGACTGGTCCTTCTCCCACCCTTCTGGGGCAAGCCCACCCTGTGCTTCAGAGCTGAGACCCAAACCCCAAGCAAGATCTTAAGGCCCCAGGGAAATCCAATGGAACCAAGCTGAGAGCAATCATTTAGGAAAATTTTCATGAAAGTTTAATCATAATGATGATGATGGTGATGGTGATAGCTTACATTTACAGAACGCTTACTATGTGTCAGGCATTTTACACTTATCTCATTTGATTCTCACAACAACCTTGGGAGGTAGGTGCTATTATTATCCCCATTTTACAGATGAGGAAACTGAGGCAAACAGAAGCATCTTGCCAGGGTCACATAGCTAGAAAGTATCTGAAGCTGAATTAGAACTCCGGTCTTTCTGACTCTAGGCTCACTGTAGCACCACCTAGAACAGGCTGCTTCCATTTCTAAATTGGGGCATAGTAAGAAAACCCACAGTCGAACTTCACAAACAAACCTAAAACCCCAGAGGCCTCTACTTTGTCGACAAGGCAGCTATTATTAGGGTGTGTTACATCCATTTGGAAACGTCCATGACCAATCCCAGGGAAAGAAGAAAGGCACAAGTCATTAGGATAATTGGTGGCCTTGGAAACTTACATAATGACTATAATCAAGATAGGAAGCATCACAAGAAATGATTTGCACACACAGGAAGATTAAAATGCACACCTTTTTAAAAAAAAAAGAAAGAAAACTAAATTCCAAATTCCAGAAATCAGGAAAGAATCACATTATGGAGCGAAATGGGGGGAAAACCATCCTGTTTTCTTATGTCTAGCTTATTTCGAGGCAATAATTGTGACAACAATTTCCAAAGCGGTTCTTGTGCACATGCACCCAGGAAGAAATGAAGCAGAAACATGCAGATTCATCAGCAGCCACTTCAGAGACCATTTCCATTCTACCGCAAACACAGCTCTCTGGATTTGAAATGCACTCCACCATGCACGCTGCCCGTTAAACCAATCTGCTCGTGTCTTAAATAAACAACAAATGGCTAAATATAGCATCCTTTACCTTACTTGCCCCTTTCCACGGCTAATTTTAGGCAAAGCACCCATCTGGAGATTTTCTCCTCATCTTAGAGGAAGAGGGAGATTTCATAACAAAGCAGTTGCCTGAAAGCCAGGCTTTTTGATGTACAATTGGCAGAGAGACTTCAACTTAGTTAACAACACAAACTTCCCCTTATAGGAGATGATTGTCCCCTTTTCTATCATTATTTACCTCAAAATCTTTCAAGGGATGGAAGAGGAGAATAAAGAAAGAGTAGGAACAGTTGTAGAAGAAAGTGGTGAACGAAAGCTCATGGAGGCAAGTCTGGTCTCTTTATGAGACCCTCCGAGGGTTCACTCAGCCACCTTTCCCTCCTTCAGCTCATCTTACAGGCGTGCGCGGACACACACACACACACAAACACACACACGCGCGCGCACACACACTGATACCTGTTAGAGGGTGGTGGTATTTAGGAGAAAATGAAAGAGAGATAAATAAAAGGGAAGAGGCTTCTCATTAATGATTTCAAAACCCAGCCAGCCTGATCGCTAAAGTAAACCTGCTCCCCAGTCCCTCCTGTCCTGAAGTCACAGGAAACGAGGATGGCCCAAGGCTGGGTCTATGAGCACCCCTCACAATGGGAGGAATCAGGCAGGAAGTGCACAGTCAGGAAAAGGAATCATGCAGTAAGGGGACTGCAGTCATGGAAGAGAAGCCTGTACCCACCTCTGCCAGACCATCGCTTGACTTGGCACCGGCAGCAGAATCGAGGAGCAGGGACTCAGCATGGATTCTACGTAAGCGGTCTTTAAGGTCTGTGTTTTGTGCTAGGGCCTGGAACATGTTAAAAAAAATATTGGGGCCACATTAATGGAGGAGACGTATCACAAAGGGCAGGAATCAACGGGCTGGATGGGATAGGCACAAGAGATTCGTGGGAGGATTGGTCTATCCATTGTTATTGAACTCTACACCCTCATAGGTCCACTGAGAACCTCGGCTCACACTTGGATGAGCTCTGAGATCCTCTGAACAGCCTTGCCAAATTCAACCCAAGTGATGATGCCCCTTCCTTCCACCTTATTCCAGGTCCTAATAATACTTTTTGAAATAAAAGCCATCAGATCACCGATCCTACTACCTGTGCGCCCTTGGACAAGCTGGCTATCTCTCTCTGGGCCCTGGTTTGATTATCTACAAAAGGAAAAGGGTTGGACTAGCTCTTAAACCACATGTGTATGTCATGGACCCTTTTGGCAGTGAGTCTGGGAAAGCCAGAAAGAAAGATTCCTCAGAATCACATTTTTATACATAGGATTACAAAGGAAACCCATTTTATTGAAAAGCAGTTACCAAAAAAAAAGAAAAATTATTGGCAAGTTCATGGGCTGCAGGTAAGACCTTCTAGGCTAAACTATTAGATTGTAAGCTCCTTGAGGGAAGAAACTATTTTTTGCCTCTTTTTTCTCTCCCCAATGTCTGGCATATAGCAGGTGCTTAATAAATGTTTAATGATTTCTTGAGGAGTGATTTCTAAGATAAACTGACTTCTGCTCTAAATGTGTGATCCCATTATCCTCCCAGAAGTGGGTCCCTTCCTAGGCTGAAAGAAACACAATCTGTCTACTCCCAGGTCCACATTCTAAACCTTTCTGGCTTGCTAGAGCTTGCCATGGCCTTTGAGAACTCAGGGTCACCTCCACATCATCAGGAGACTTCAGGCTAGGTAGGGCTCTTCTGGAGGAACATTTCTTTTTAAATGGAAGGGTATGTCCAAACCCATACAAACAGTGGGATGGAGATGTTGAAAAAAAGGAAAGAGAAAACCTGCAATGCCAGATTTCAGCCCGTTTGTGCTGGCTTCAGGTTTGAGTTTTTGTATCAGGATAAGAAGCCACACAGCTGCTTTTTAAGAAGATGATGGAAAATGGGACTCAAAGCTCTCTATGCCAGTAAAGGCTGGGCCTGAGACGTGGCCAGTCTGGCTCAAGAGCTTCCTGCCTCTTCTCCAACTTTCTAACCCTCCTCTATTGCCAGGTTGCTCATGACTGACCCCTTTTCTTCCCCTTCCTGTGACTGCCAAAGAAAACAGGCGTCTCCCATGCCTCCACTGAGCCCTGCCCTACCAGCAGCTAATACCTGCCTAATCCTGACCACAGCCAAATGGGAGACAGAGGCATCAGTGGGGACCGAGACGTGGTTAGGAGGCTTAGAAGAAATGGCCTTCGATAGACTTCCTAACCAGGAGGGATTCATTCATTCTTTGAGGTTGTGTGTGTACTTACTCATCCGGCTCTGAAAGATGAGTATGTTTCCTCCTCTTAGAAGGGCACCAGGAACAGGTAAATAGTGGGGTGTAAGCGAGCATGTCAGATTATCCTTTCTTTGCCTTTAAGGGAGTCCCTGTTGCCCACTTCGGCTTTCTACACAAGGGTTCTCTCAAAGGCAAAGGGAGTTGGTTTCTTCTTTCTGACATTCCCACCCATTAGAAGATGCCTCATTTCCGAAAGATGCTGGGGTCGGGAGGGCCATGCTCATTATTGGTGCATGTGGAATGTTTGTGTTCTCTCTGACGCAAAAAAAGAGGTCAAGAGACTCTTCCCAGGGCAAGTGGAGAGATGAGCTCAGTGAGGAAATTAATAGGGTTGAGGTGGGGTAGGGGGAGGGGAGTCACTCAGTTCTAGAAATTCCACTGCCCAGGTCAATTTGGATTACATGTGCAGGTTACTTTAAAACATGCACAGATCACTTGAAAAGGAAGCAAGGAGGGAGGGAGGAAAAGAGGGGGAGGAGAGAGAGAGAAGGGGGGAGAGAAAAAGGGAAGGAAAGAAGGAAGGGAGGGAGAGGGGAGAGATAGAGAGAAAAAGAAAGAGGGAGGGAGAGAAGGAGAGAAGGAGGGAAGGAAGGAAGGAAGGAAGGCAGGTAAAAATTACGAAATCATGGCTGAAATGCTCTCCCAGGATCCTGGCCTCGCCCATCACACGTCTTAGCTTTGCTGTCTCTGTTGCAGCTTTTGTAAAGATGGAGAGAAAGGCACAAACCTTACTGAAAAAGTTTGGCAGCCTTCTCCTCTGATGGCAGTGAGGCTCCTCCTAGACCCCCTTCTTCTCCATCCCTTCACCTCCACACTCCCAGCCAAAAAGAGGAAGACACACAAGTCCTGATCTCTGATCAGTCCTAAGAGCAAATGCCACAATGAAAAGAAAGACCTCTTCTGTTCTAACTACATGGCCAACTCTCAAATTGGCCGGAGGGTGAATGGGGTTTCCATTGGAGTAATCGTGATCTTCTCCATGGGTAGGAATGTCAGAGAAAAGGCAGCATCACCTTGTTTTCATCTGTGCATGGAGGGGGATGAAAACAGCCCCACTCCTCTCAGACCCTAATGCCATTCCATAAGAGCTGGCTTATCGCCAATCCAAAGAACAGTTGTTTGAATCTGTGTGTGTGCTGACCCCAGCCTGGCCTTTAAAAAGGTTCTCAGATCCCAACAAACCCTGGGTTGGGTGCTGAATGCCCCCCTCAGCCTGGCTCCCAGCTCTCATAGGTTTGTTTCCCGTGACCCCTCTTCACACACACCCATGCCAGGGAAACTGGCCTGCAAAGCTTGTTCCTGAACACAACGTCCCTTTTCCCACCTGGGCCAAGTCATCTGATCTCTGTAAGATGGGGATAATACTAGCAACCCCCTCCCAGGGCTAGAGAGAAGATCAGGTAAACTCCATGTAAGCAGCAAAGTGGTTTGCAAACAATGAAATGCTATACACATGTGAACAACCCCTGCACTGCCTATGCATGTGTGTGAATTATCCCTATGCCACCTATACACACGTGTGAATTCTCATTGTACAGCACTGTAACTTTTGGAGAGGATTGCAGGGAGGGGCTGGCCCTGTGACTTCACTCGTCTTGGGAATTCTAAATGAGGAGTTCCCTCTCTCAGTCACATTAGCACCTGTTGAAATTCATAGTCGCTTACAAAGGCTGAGTGTGAGCCCAAGTTAACACAGTCACAGTCTAGAATACAAATTCTGAAACTTACATTCTTAGTTTTGCCTGAGGACTCTGACATGTTAAATACTACATACAATAAGCGCTTAATAAGTGCTGGTTGAGTTTTTTTGTTGAATGAAAATGATGATCATCTAGTTGGTTTATTCCCTCAGGAACTCTCCAGGGAACCCAGGATCCAGACAAGATAAGAAGACATGAGCAAGAAGGAAGGAAGGAAGCATTTGTGAAACGTCTACTATGTGCTGGTTGTGTGCTAAGCACTTTACAAATATACAATACTTGTAGAAATATCTCATTTGATCTTTTAACAACCCTAGAAGAAAGGTGCTGCCATTATCCTCATTTTATAGTTGAGGAAACTGAGGCAGACAGATGTCAAATGACTTGCCAGGTGTTACACAGCTACTAAGTGTATGGTCTCAGATCTCCCCTACATCAGGCCCAGCACTCCATACACTACGGTGTCCCCTTAGCTGCTAGGACAGTTCTATATCTTCCCTCCATAACACACATGTAACTTACGGATGATAAGGCATGCTTCAGACCCACAATCTGTGCGGATGGTGATGAGGAGGACTCATGCTCTATCATCTGCTTCAGTTTCTCCCTCTCATTTGATATGGTATTGAAAGCTGACTTTAAGGTGAAGTAAACTAGAAGATTTAAAGAAAAAAAAAAGGAAGAGACATTAAAAAAATTGAGAGTACATAAAATAAGTTACAAACTATCCCAACAGTCAATAAAATAAGTTACAAACTATCACAACAGTCAATTAATAAACATTTATTAAGCACCTGCGATGTGCCAGGCACTATGTTAAGGGCGAGGGATACAAAAAAGAGGCAAAAGACAGTTCCTGCCCTCAAGGAGCTTGCAATCTAATGGATAACAGCATTCACAACACTAGCCTTTCTTAGGGGTGAAGATTCAGTGAGGAGCAAGTGTTACATCTGTGAGTATTACACACATACAGACACAAACACACACTTAAATCAAGGCTGAGCCCTTGTCCCTCAGCAGCCACAGTGTCACGTGCCACGAAAGCTTCTCCTGAACCCCTGAGTCAGGCTGTGTTGACACTGTGCCAAAGCAACCCGTTCTAGGAGTCAAAGAGGCCCAATGAAAGTGTCTGGGCTTTTAGACCGCTTCTACTGAACTCTGCTTATTTTAAAAGTCAAACACACACACACATACACACACACACACACACACACACACATACAGTCCTTGATATTTGGGGTCTAATGATAAGTAGCTAATGTGACTAAACTTTTCAAGTTTCAATGTAAATTATTTGTTGCAAAGGTTTTTTTTTTCTCTTTCAATTGGGGGTAGGAGTTGGGAGGGAGATTCCCTCCCCCCACAAACGAAAAAGAAAAGAGGGTCATTGAAGCATTTAAAAGCAATGCACAGCAAAGAACTGGAAATTGAGGGATTGCCCATTAATTGGGGAATGGCTAAACAACTTGTGGGATATGGTTGTCACGGAATATTACTGTGCCATTGAAAATGATGAGAGGGATGGTTTCAGAAAAATCTGGGAAGACTTACGTGAACTGATGCAAAGTGAAATAAGCAGAACAGGGAAAACAGTGTACATAATAACAGCAATATAATAAGGATGAACAACTGTGAAAGACTTAGCTGCTCTGATCAAAACAGTGATCCTCCACAACTCCAGAGGACCCATGATACTATCCACCTCAGAGAGAGAACCAATGAACTCTGAGGGTAGCCTGGAGCAGACTTTTCTTCACTCTCTTTATTCTTCTTGCTTTTTTTTTTCTTTGCAACATGGCTAATATGGAAGTATGTTTTGTGTGACTTCATACATATAATGAGGTATCATAGTACTTGCCTTCCGAATGGGTGGAGGAGGGGCAGGAGAGAAGGACAGAATTTGGAGCTCAAATTTTAAAAAATGTTAAAAATAAATAAATAATTGAAAAAATAATAAAAGCAATGCACAGAATAAAACAGAAGGAAAACCAGAAGGAAAGACAGACAAACCAACAGGAGCAATCTGAAAGTTACCTGTTGAATTCTTTATACGCTTCTGTAAGGTACAACCCATTTCATATGAAGAGTTTGCTTGCTAAAAGTGACCCAAAAAATTGTGTATGAGGGAAAAAAGAAAACCTTGTAAAGATCAATTTGCAGAGAAATAAAATATTGATAAAAATAAAATATTGAGGAGAGAGCCAGATTGTTCCAAGGAGCAGATAGAGAACTGCCCTTTGGGGGATCATAGCATACTAAGAGAAACTCTCAGCAGCCTGAGTTTGAAGAATGATGGAGGTAATTCAAGCTGCAGGGCATTATTGTCCATTGACTCATTTTCTGTGGCTGTTTTTTTTTTTTCAACATTTACAACTGAAGCTGTAAACCAAATGATTGTTTGGGGACTATGAGATTATTATTAAAGGCCAGTGGAGTTCATATCTTTCAGAAACAGTCACTGATTAGCAGGAAGCTGTGACTTGAGTCTTTAGTAGATAAAGGAAGAAAGAGAGAGAAGGAGAAGGAAGAGGCAGAAGTAGCAGGAGGGCAAGCTGAGCAAAAGAGGAGTCACAAGAAGCCATGGAAGGCTAAACAAAGAAGTTTCCAGCTGAGAAAGCTGATTCTTCAGCTGCTTTGACGGGAGTCTGCTGTTTGGGAGAAAGCTGATTCTTCAGCTGCTTTGACGGGAGTCTTCTGATTGGGAGAGGCAATGTTTTGCAGATTGACTGGCAAAAAGACTTGTTCAGCTGAAAGGATTCTTTGGCTACAGTGCTGATTGGAGGAGAGCTTAACTCTGCTGCTGCACATACATAGCTTTCTATGTTTTCTGTTCTGTAGTGCCATCTATATCATGAGAAAGGGGGGAAAAACTCAGACAGTTCCTTGCTACCTGTTACTACCCTCTATAGTTTGAGAGGGAAAGAAAGAGAAGGGGGAAACAGGCTTTGAATTTGTTTTGTTATAAGCTGGGTTTACTGGGGAAGAGGCTTGGCTTGGCTTTGCTAGAAGATGTCAGGAGAGAAAGCAGAATCCCTTTAAATGAAAGGCAGGCTGGGCTTGTCTCAATTGCCCAGAGAGTCACCTTAGAGAGTTTTGTACTTCTCTGGCTGAAGAGAATTACTTATCACTAAACAAACATAATGTTTGTGTATGAGTGTGTCTCTATATAGATAGAAAAACAAATATAGAGACATACACATGTCTCTGTATATAGATATATATGTATATACAAACATATCTATAGACGTAGGGAGATGCATATGTATGTATGTGTGTACACACAGACACATCCTCACATTTGCATTGCTAAAAAAGTATAACATTTTCTTAGTGCCCTATTAAATGTGACTGTGAACTCCAGAGGGTGTCGCTGATCTATTGGTTAGAAAGCAGAAGAGAACCAACTTCGCCCATCAGGAGATTGGTAAGGACCAAAGAGGGGCATTTATCAAAGAAGCAGCTTTGTGTGGTGCAGATTTTTCTTGAAGGGGTCAAGGACATCAAAGCCTGCAGTCCAGAGTTGTGACATGCTTCTGGTGTGTGGGTTTCCTCATTCATGTAAGTATGTGTCTTCTCTCTCCCATAAATACTCTATGCATTGCTGGAAGCATATGACTCAGGTTTTTGAGTGGACTGTAATTTTTTTTTGTTATAGAAGTTTTTGCCCTCTGCTTAATAAATGTCATGTTTGATTATTCCTGCTCTTGCCTTCTGCTGAGAAAATGATATCAGTATTATTGCTTTTGCCTTATTTTTTTAATAAATGTTTTATGTCTAAGAGTCATTGGTATCACTCTGACTGATTGATTTTGTATAAATGGGAAGTACACCAGTGGGGGGTTCAGGACCCACAGTAGCAACTAGTAGAAGTGTTTCCTTCCACATTAGGGTTATCCCTATGGCCCTAAGAGAGTGATTGAAGAACAGCAATGTGACCATGGCCAGTCCCCAGCTCCAGGAAGAATCCCATGACTGATGATGTGAAGTAGGTTGGGGTTCATGAAGCAGCACAGACAAAGGGGAGTACAAATGACATGTCAGACACCACTCTTGCAGGCTACACTGCCCCAATGGGTGGGCCACCCCCTCACTACACTTAAAAGGAAAATCAAAGTACATGTAATACAGATTTGCAGTTTCACATACAATCCTCTTTCTGTTCTACTTTGCCTATGAAAGCTTAAATTATGAATTTTTAAAAAGTCATAACCAAAAAAAGCTTCAATTTAAGGGATAATAATAGTCTAGATGATGAAGGCCTGAACCAGGGTGGTGGCAACAACAATAATAATAACCAGCATTTATATAGCACTTTAAAAGTTTGCAAAGCTCTTTACAAACATTATCTCAGGTCATCTTCACAACAGCCCTGGGTGGTAGATGATATTGTTTCTCCCCATTTTATAGATAAGGCAAATAAGCAAGATGAAGGTTAAGCGATTTGCCCAACGTCATTGAGCTGATCTGAGATTCTATTGGCTCTCAGATGTTCCTGATTCCAGGTCCAGGACTCTAGCCACTTCCCTGACTGGCTGGTCATCTCAGGAGGGAAGGGACAGAGTCAAAGAGGTTGTGGAGATAGAAAAGATAAGACTTCACTTCTGATACTCGTGGACCTCTGTGTTTATGTCCAAAGTCATAGGAAACAGCAGCTTCCAGACACTTCGAGAACGTTCTCTCTCTCATGGACGTGTTCTTATTACTTATTCAAAAAATGATTTCTTAGTTGTTTATTTGTCCCGAGCTGGCTTTTTTTTAATAGAAAAAAAGATCAAAAGGTCTGAGTGATAGCACATCTTTACATCCCTGGCAAGACAGCCAGACAATCACAGTGTCTGTTTTGGAAGCAATTATCACCTCAAATGGGGGAGCCAAACCTCCTGCACAAAGTCTTTCAAGGCAGCTCCAAATGCCAGAAACAAGATCTTTGGTTCATCACAATTGGACTCTTCACTTTGGGAATATTCTAAGTTCTATCCAATTAAGTAAATATTTAAGTGCATGCAATGTGCAAGGCACTCTTAGGAATGGTTTGGACTTTTATTTGGTTTTTGGGTTTGTTTGTTTGCTTGTTTTCTGGCATTCACAAAAGATCAGAGACAATAAATCCTTCCAAGTCTCGATCTTCTCTCATTTCAAAATCTCACTGGCTCCCAGGGTGGTGTGGTATAGTGGAAAAGCAAACACTATGGAGTCAGAGGACCTGGGTTCAAAACCCAGCTCTGCCACCAGTGTAGACCTTAGGAAAGTCCCTTCCATCGGGCCTCGGTTTCCTTCTCAGTAAAAATGAAAGGGGCTAGACTAGCTCTGATCCCAAGATAGAGCTATGATGGATGTTGTGTCTGAGCCATATATTTCTACTCAGTAAAATGATAGAGTTGGACCAGATGAAAGCCAGATCTAAAATACACAATACTTTGCTTTATTTGTATCAATAACCAGAGATTAGAATCTCACTTTTTAAAAAATCTTTTAAGGAAGGACCTAAACATTCTCCTCCATTGATCCTGGAGCAGCCTTAGTCATTGCTCAACTACCTCGAATTGGCTTGCCAAATGTATTCAGAGCTACTTCCTAGGTTAGTCTAATACGGTCTCTAGTCTCCATCTATCCCTCTCATAGCTCTTGGCAGCTTTTCCAGCACCAGCTGTCA